GTTAAATATTTAAAACTTAAAATTTAGTGAGCTATATTAAAACAAATTTCTGCAACAAAGCAACTTTTGTTAAAAATCAAACAATTGAAAAGCACTAGGAAAGCAGTACTGTAGATTGCTTAGTCTGAATAGTAACTCCATCCTTCGGAAGTACTCTGAACTTTTTACACTTGAAGCTTATGAGATAAATGAAGAATATTTTTAAATAATAATTTTACTGTAATAAAACAAATAGTGTTAAAAGATTGAATGCAATTATTAATATTTATTTATAATCATTTTGCGAAATTGAGAAAAGCATTTTAATTGATTAAATTCTGCTTAATAATATAACAAAAGCTTCGTTGCAATTTATTTGCATAACTTTAATGAAATACTCAAAACTGTTCTATTACATTTAATTACGAAATTTTTAATTGTCAAATTATTCCAAAACACCAATAAATTCTTTTTTAAATAAATATTTAATCATTATTATTATTCCATAGGAATTAAGATTTTCAAAAAATTTCGAATTCAAACCTTTATGAAATTCAACAACTTATAGGAATATTATTATAAAACATGAAGATATAGCGATCACTCCGAGTCGAAGACTCAATTACAAATTCAATTTTTGTAAAGAATTTTATTACCAAATTTTTAAATAATTGAATTCTTTTGGCGAATTTTAATTAAATTTTCAAGAATAATTATATTTTTCGAGGAATTCAATTAAAATTGTATTAAAGATAATTGAAATCCTGCGATGATTTTTATTATTCATGAAAATAATTGAATCTCGGTAAAAAAATTTATTATTTATGAAAATAATTGAATTTTGGAGAAGAATTTTAGTATTTTTAAAGAAAATTGAATTGTAACTTTTTCTAAATTCAATTTTTTTCAGTACTTTAATAAAAACCCCTGACTTTTTTCTGATTTCCCTGATCTATGACAACCCTGGAAATGTTAAAATATTTTTAAAATAAAAAACTTGAAACCGAAAGAAATAAAATTATTTACTGCATTTCGTAGGATTTAACAAATACGTACAAGTAATAAAAATAGAATATGCATATTTCACTGAAAATCAATTTTTTTAACTGAATTAAGGGAATTTGCGAGATAGTGACAGTTTATAAAATAATGAGCAAGTTAAACTCGTCCAGCGGCGTTTGGCGGACATTTAAAGTGCTCGTCCGTGTCGACGTCCGTCCACGTTAATTACTGCCGACTCAGACGAACGAACTGTGCTCTAGAATCTAAAATTCAGTTTATAAGAATAAATATAACCTGCAAACGAACAGCGGATCACCTAATGAATATTTTCCTCTGATAGTTGTAAAATTCAATAAAATTCTTTTACGAATTTTCTATTTATACCAATGTCGACAGACAAATTCGAAAACTATAAATGAAATTTTCTTTTAAATTCTGAATTAAAATTTGGAATTTTCTAAAATTACTTATTTGTTTATTGCTGAGAGAGTACTGCCTACCTCTTGCAAGCAGATAAACATCTAGAATGAATGAGATATTAAGAAAAAGGGTCTATATGAGAAATCAGTAATCTTTGAACTGAAAGAAAGAAGTTATCGACTATTCGCTGGAGATTTGTAATGTGAAGCGTTTAAAGTTGCAATGGGTCTCTTGGGTAAAAGGAAAGCCAAAAAGATCAAATAGCAGACTGACTCGAAACATTGACAAAAATGAAATTAATATGTATTGTATCTAAGCTCTCATATGAAAAAAGAACATTGCAAGAAATAATTAGTTTATTGCAATATCGAAGATTAGATTATATAGTAATTTAGTGGATGTGTTAATGACTGAATGTTTGGGACTTTTGCAAGTGTGCCTTTAAGGCTTTAACGCAATCTCGTGAGTGTGGTGTGGCAATGTAATTCATGGTGAAATCTAAGCCTGGAGGATTCAGGGTGCTCGGCTCGGGCAGATATCTGAGCCAAAGTAGTATTTCACTCTGGAGATCTTGAAGGGTTAATTAAGTGTTTGTTCACCCGACAAGCACAAACTGCAAACCTAAGTAAAAGCAAGCACTTTAGAATTTAGTTGTACCTCCATTTCTCTCTTTTAAGTCTTGATTCTGATTCCTCTGAATTTTACACCAACGTTGCTTTTTTCAATTTTATAAACTTTAATAAGGACTTTACTCTCCGAGTTGTTTAAAAAATAAATATAAACTTGAAATAAAGAAAAATAAAAAGGATGAGAATTGAATTTTTTTACCATTCGATGTGTTGGAAGGAAAAAATTTCTATCATCTCACATCGTTTGAAACAGTTTTGAAACACGTGATTTGGAACGTTATTCGAACGATGAGGTTAGAAAACGAGAAACTGGAAAATGTCCTGCAGATTTGAACTCTATATGGATCTCTGAATGAGATCTTTCCTCCCACGTGTGAGTGTGTGAGTGTGTGTGTGTGTACGTATCGAGTTAGAGTGGGACGTGGGGTGGGTGAAAGCCATAGGGGTGAACACTAAGCCCGTTGGTGGACATAGAGGACGGAAGCTGGCACTAAAGGGACACATTTATGCCTTCCCCGGAGTATGTTAGCTAGCTACCTATCCTCCAGCCTGGAAATTCCCCCCCCCCTCACACCCTCTTTCAACCCTTCACTTCCCCGGCCCTCCCTTCTTCATTTCAACCCCTCGTCTCTTCACCTAAGTTCAAATCCCAGAGAGCAACCCTTGCAATGCTTGTGGACAGTGGTCAACTTCAGACGCCCTCAAACCATGTAACTTCCTTATTATCCTGGACTTTGACATCCATTAGGCCGTAATCGTGAATGTATCTTCTACATATCCATATCCATGTAAAGTATAAGTGTCGAATTATTTTGAATCATTTTCAATTATTTCGACAGAGAGAAAGTTTTCTCAACTACATTCAGCTGAAATGATATAGTCCTATAGATATGTCATTATAGAAAATGCACTCCACTACAGTGAATGCATAACAAATATGATTGAAATTATAAAAGGTAAAGTTCCAATCTGGTTTTTTCTGAAAAATAAAATAATAGATCTGAGTGCATCTTTTACAGCACCAGGGTTGCCATAGGTCAGGGAAATGAAGTATTTTTTTGAAAAATTTTAATTTCAATTCTGTTGAAATTAGTTTCAATTTCAAAAATTTTAACGCAATTCTTTTGAAAGAATTCAACTATCTTAATAAATACATGTGTCGAAATTGCCATGGCCCCGGCCGGTTTTATTGTTTCACCCCGGTTTGGGGAAGCCTGGTCTGGACCCGGCAAGGGCCATGTCAAAATTTCTACACGGGTATCAAAATTCTTTCGAAAAATTCAATTATTTTAAAAAAATTATCTTAAGGTTTATAAACACTTAATTATTTTCTAAAATAATGAAAATTTCACAGGAATTCAATTATTAAAAACAGAATTCGATGAATTTTTTTGATAAAAAATCAATTGTTTGGGACTTTTATATAAAATTCTTCGTAATAATTAAATTATTTTCATAAAATAGTAAAACTCATTGCAGAATTTTAATTATTTTTAATACAATTTTAATCGAATATCTCGAAAAATGTAATTATTCCTGAAAATTTCATTAAAATTCGTCGAAAGAATTCAATTATTAAAAAATTTGTTAATAAAATTATGTATAAGAATACAATTTTAATTCAATTATTCAATAAAGTATCTATGTTCGTATTTAAAAAATTGAATTCTCGTAGAATCTTCTAATAAAAATTGATTTAAGAATTAATTTCAATTAAAGTTTAAGATAATAATTGAATTTTTGAGAAGTTACTGATAATTGCAATTTTTAGAAATATTTGAATTTTGTAAAGGCTTCAAATTAAAATCTTTGAAAATCTGAATTTTTCAAACTTTTAATTAAAAATGCTATGGAGCTATAGTTTTCTTCCAAAAGTTTAATTGAATTTTTTTTTAAATTACTTCAAGTTTTAATTTTCTAATCCTATATTTAATTGAAGAATTTTCAAATAATCGAACTTTCACGTAAAATTAAATTGAAAACAAATGGATTTGAAAAATACAAAAAGTAAGATACCGTCTGACTAAAACTTGTTTTTTCTACTTATTTTGGAAAAATACGAAAAATAGGAAATTATGTCTGACTAAAATTTATTTTTATTACTTAATTTAGAATCATTCGAAAAATAGGTTATGACACGTCTAACTAAATCTTGTTTTTACTGCTTAATTTAGAAAAATACAAAAAATAGGATATAACGTCTGACCAAAACATGCCTTTACTACTTATTTTGGAGTAATACTAAAAATAGAAAATGAAGTCTTACTAAAATTTGTTTTCACTACTTAATTTAGAAAAATATTAATAATATGATAAAACGTCTGACCAAAACATGTATTTACTACTTATTTTGAAATAATACGAAAAATAGGATATGAAGTCTGACTAAAATTTACTTTTACTACTTCATTTAGAAAAATACAAAAAATAGGATATAACGTGTCTGACCAAAACATGTCTTTACTACTTATTTTGGAAAAAATCGAAAAATAGGATATGACACGTCTGATTAAATCCTGTTTTTACTACTTAATTTAGAAAAATCTGAAAAATAGGATATGACTTTTTTAAAAATTATAAAAACTAATTGATTTAAAGAAGAATGTTAGTTAAAAATTCTAGAAAATACCAAATAATCTCTCATCATATCTATAATGTGTAAAAATGTAATTTTAATGGAAAAAGAAGCTATTAACATAATGTGGATAAATTTTTTTTAAAAATCTCTCCAACAGGGAATCGAATTCTGACCTCCGCATGATAAGCAGTATACTGACTGGTTCTCATGGGTATCTGGTTTTATAATTTTATTTCAAATTACATTTTTATTTTATTGCACAGCTGAAATTTTTATGTAGAAACAGTACACTCTTTTAATTTTATATGACTGAAAAAAAATTTGCTTTTTTACAGTAAAACTAGTAAGTGTTTACTTGCTAGTTTACTAACTAGTAAGTGTTTTGTACTCACCACTGTCTAGGCTATTTTGGTTCTCCAAATCTGGTCCTTGGATCGATGAGGGTCTTCCATTGTTTAAAAAATCTGAAACGAAGGAAAACTAATTAGTTTCATACAAATACCGCTCGAAACATATTTTTTCCAGTATAATAAGCTAATACATGTGAAAATTGAACTGAAACCTATGGTGTAAAAGAGTAATCGAAATTTGATACCAAGTTCTGAATCAATTGGACAGTATCCAAACGAAGCAGGGTTCATAATACATACATATAAGTAAACTGAGGTACACATACAGTGTGTACATCATATGCACAACGTTGGTCGGTATTTGGAAAGGACTGTTGGATAAGGGGTTGTGGGGGTTGGCGATGCAGTGTATAGCAATGAGGTAAAAGGGGTGGGAAAAGAGGATCCCAAAGGGGCCATACTCTGACTATATTGGCTCCCATAGCCAGTTTCTGTACATTGGGGACTACGTTGTTGCCCGAGTAACCCGCGTGCTACCGAACGTTTTCTGAATAGCTAGATGCTTGCCGGCTTGTTTATCTCACATAATTGAACGCAATGTAAGCCAACGGCATGTTATCCTATTTAAAAGCATCCAAAATATAAATTTTGTCAATACAAAAACTGAATGGGAAATCACATTGAAAACAAGAAACATTGAAAATGTAAACTGTAAACTAATCAAGAAAATAGGTAAATTTTATAAAGAAGTGATTATTATCATCATCGATATACTAAACTAGAATAAAAATAAAGAAAACAATTGAAAAAATGTAAATAATTATCTTAATAATCTTTAAGATTCAAGTTGTCCATAATATTGAAAAATCAGCTTGCCAACAGGATTATGGCCCCAGAAGACTTGTGAGGTGTAAGGGGGATGAAACAACTTTCAGTGGCGAACGAGTAAAAAGAAAGTTGAGTGTGGATGAGGGGAATGATTCTTTAAAAACTCCGTTTTCCCAGTGTTGAATTATGAATTTTCGAAGTTTGATGGTATTGCACGGGTCACTGTTGGGAGCCGGTTCGGTTTTGTATTAGCATGTAACTCCTGCAGGAGTTAAAGTTGCGATGGCTTGTGGGAGGTTGGTAGGTGGTAAAGGGAGGGTAATTACCTCCACGGGGAATTTCCTCTCTCAACGATGTAGCCGTAGAGTAAGCCCCAGCACGGGCACCGAGGCTTCCCATTGCTCCCAGTGGTCCCCCGGGGAATGGTGCCAGTGGTTCGCACGCGGTGGTTCTCATTTTCTCGAAATTCGAAATTAGATTTTACACACACCACTCACACATTGCGAACACATCGAATCGCTTCATTTGTTTTCTATAAAAACAATTCCTGTTTTAAAAGGAAACAGTGAAAATAGATGTGTAAAACTAAAATTTGAGTGTTTCTCTCTTTAAAAAATGAAAATAGATTTAGTGCGACTAAACGACGCGTGCAATGTACACAAATTAATTCGCTCTTGCCGATTTTCGCTATTTTGTTGGAGATGGAATAAAAGAGGCGAACGTGAAAGAGAGTCGAGGCCAAGAAATACGAAGCCATTTCTACGAGAAAAGAAATTAAAGTTGTCCCCAGGGTGGACAGCTCGCGAGGTCGAAGGTTCCAATACACCCTTGCCAACTCAGGAATGAGCTTGGTTAGCAGCTAGCCTATTGCTATTGTTTGTGTGACTCCCTCGAGAATAACCTGCCCTCAGCAGTGCTATGTGCTGGCGACCCGAGACATCTTCAAACTTTTCTTATCCCTTATTCTATTTTTCATGTGTCCTTCCCCAGTTCCTAGGTCAATTAAACTCCGACCTTAGGTGTTCTCATTTTTTAAATCAGTACTCTGTTGACTAAAATCAAGCACCATCACTGATTTCAAAATTTGTTATTCACTTTTTTTCTAAGACATCTAATTCAGATATTTTATTTTTTCTACAAGACAAATTTTTTTATAGAAAAAATAGGGTTCTATAAACGCAGTATAGGGGAAAATTGGGAAATTTGCTTCGGATGAAGATTATAGTTGCAGACAACTTTTCTGCACAGGTTCGTCAAGGGGTTGAGCCCCTTTTGGCTTTTGCGATGGCAAACGTTACATTTGTATAATAATTCTGACTCAACGGGCACGCTAATTCCTCAGTTAACTGGCCCTGTGGGAGCTTAAAGCCTTGCATTGCTATGGTAACGACACAGGTGTGCGCATCCCTTTATAGTTTACTCGTGTGGCAATTTCGCGAGATGACCCTTGATCATACTGGACACATATGTTTCATCATTCATGAACAAAAATTTCATCAACTAATATTAAATAATGTTTCACTGCTGTCTAAATTTTTACCCAAATATTTTTATTTTCTTTATTATAATCTTTGTATATATCTTTAAATTTCATCCCAAAATAACTTTTTAGTGTTTTTAATTTTAATTACATACAAACAAAATCAGGATAATTTCATTATAATTAAACCATATTTTTAGGATAATTGGACAATTGTTAATGTTTCAGGAATTTATTTTACTATACAAATGATTGAATTTGCAAAAATTTCAAGAAGTAATAAGGCAATTAAACTAAGAAATATTTTCTATGGATTTAGAAAACAGATCACTGTATCTAGCGAGGCCCTCACTTCAAAAAATTCTATGGAAGTACTCCCTGAAAATCCCATGGAAATTCTGAAAGTTATTTTCAGAAACACGAAGGTACTCAGAGCTGTTTTAGAATTTATTACCGATTTAGAAAAAATTTGTGTCTTGAAAAACGACGCTCGTCTTCACAATTTATTTTCCCAATTTTTACAGTCAAATATCAAATTTGGGCTTCTTTCATCAAGTTGAAGCTTTTTTTATTAAAGAAGAGCTTTTTTCGAAACACGAACGTGCTCAGAACAAAGAGTAGATGTTCCAAGGAATTTTTCGACGTAGGGGGTTAGAACTTAATTTAGCAGTATTTTTTGTTGCCAAATTAAAATAATTTTGAAAAATTTGAATTCATATTTATTAATAAAATGCGATAATTAAAGTGCAATGTAATAGGAAATTTGAATTAAAAAGTAAAGTCTCCCCTACAATGCACTGTCAGTATATTTTATGTGCCCTGAATTGTTCATATATGTGAATAAAGAAAAATAAACATTGTTTTATGCATATATGTGCATTTGTATTTGTGTGCATATACATTCCCTTGGAAGTTTGGTCAAAGATGTAAAAGGTCTTTCGGTGTGAGAGTGTAACGAGAAAGAGGAGCAAGAGAGAGAGAGAGAGAGAGAGGCGAAATGAGACACGGACGAGAGGAGGAAAAGAGAGTAAAAGGGGGACCTGGAGTCGATCCCAAGGGATGCGTAGCGCAGTGCTCGAGGCAGCTCGTCACCTGAGGCACCCTTATATCGTCGAGTACAGTCGCAAGGAGACGTATCCTAAAAGTCAGGGCCATTTTCTTTTCGTTCTTCCGTAGTGAACACCTGACTCTTATTTTCTCCCCTTTATATTTTATCAACATAATTCACCTGAAATTTAGTATTTACTCTTTATGTGCGTTAATCAAAAAATCTCCAGACATTGCGTTCCATTTTTATATTAATGGACCGAAGTAAATCAAAGACAAGCATTATTTAGTCTTATGGTGCTCCATTGTAGGGAAATGAAAAGAAATGCAATCAATCATTCACATACCGTCACGTGTCCGTGCATGAGAAATATTTTCGAATCGAAATTTATGGATGGTTTTGTTGTTTTTCAAACCAACACACGGGGCTTATCGATAGCAAAATTTTCCACTTTTTTACGTATGGAATGGAAATAAAAATGCATAGATAAAAATGAAGGAAGATCAGTTCCCTGATGAATAGTACTGTAAATACCGACACTGGTGTGTTTGTCAATTTTTTTGTCTTTTCAAAATATTTTAGAGAACAGTTTGTCTCTTAGACGAAGTTTTCAATTATTTTTGGAGTAGTCATTCAAAAACAAATCTGGCCCAAAATAGTTAGGGAAGAACAATAAAACGAAACTTAACTTTTCTGATAGGTTTGTAATATTTTCGGAAACTTTACTAGTCAATCAGAGACGTTACCAGTGCTGATCGTCACATAACTAATCACCGGAAGGACGCCAGTTCCAAAAAGTTGACAATTTCATCCATCACGTGAATGACAAAATAAACCACTGATCTACAATAACCAATCACGAATATAGTTATTTCAATTTCTCCTCCCACAGTGTTATTGCGACAAATTATATCCCACCTAACAAAAATGAAGAACAATCAGTCTCTACAGTGTTACTGGTATCACTAAACAGTAGAAACATTAGACAAAGTATTAAGTTACTTATGGTGTTTAAAAAAAGTTTTAATTATAGAAAATTAAATATTACCCACTACCCACGTCAAAAAATCCAATCAAATGGAAATTATTATTTATAAAAATTTTTAAATAAATTGTACGCAAACATTTAATTATTTTCATAAATAATAAAAATTTCACATGCAGGAATTCAATTATTTAAAAAAAATGTAATAAAAATTCGTTGCTAGACTTGAATTATTTTGCTAAATAATAAAATTCCTCACAGGATTTCAATTATTTTTAATACAATTTAAAGTAAATTCTTTGAAAAACATCATTAATTTCAAAAATTTTATTAAAAGTCTCTAAAGGAAATAATAATAAATTATAATTATAAATTTTTAATACAATTTTAATTTTTAAATAAATTCTTCAAAAATGTAATTATTTTCAAAAATATTTAAAATTCAATTATTTTTAAAATTTTACGGTATATTGCTTTTAATATTCAATTATTATGTAAAATTTTAACTAAAATTCAGTATTAAGTCAATTATTATTAGAATATTGTTCATAATGAATAATTGAATTTTACAATAAATTTTATAAAAATTCCTGAAAATAATAAAATTTCGGCGAAGAATTTTATTATTTTTAAAGATAATTGGAATTTTGACGTGGGATTTTTAAAAATTTTGGTACATAATTGAATATCTGCGAAGAATTTTATTACTTTTGAACCTTGAAAATGTTAAAATATTTTAAAAATAAAAAACTTGCAAAATTTCCATGGAATTTCCAGGGGGTACTTCCATGGAATTTTTCGACGTGGGTAAAAATATAGCAGTAATAAAAAGTTTGAAAACATCGATATCTAATGTATATTTTGGAATAATTTTGCAGCGCTGATGGGTGCTGTACTGGGAATAAGGAACGAGTGAAAGAGAACGAGCAACACGGAAAGAGGGAAAGGCGAAGGGAGGTTTGATACACTTTGGAGGTGGTGAGGAGGTTTTCTGGGGGAGGCAGTGGTGGGGTTGGGAGGTGAGAGTGAGGCTGTATCCCTGAGGACTCGGTGCTCTCCTCTGGCGCAACCAGCACTCGGGATCACGGGAGGAGGGGGGCAGGAGAGAACTAATCAGCTCGGCGCATGCGCGCAGGGTCGCTTTTTCATCCCTCGGGAATCCCCTGGCATTCGGTTCGCCCCTCCTGCCCCTCGCTCCGTTCGCGAGTCCCACAAAGCGAAGCGAGCGGTTTTCCCTCTTTCACTCACCCATCGCCATCGGAGGGTTTTCTGTCCTACTTGCTTTTACGAATCGGTTCCTTTGCGTCGCACCATTCAAACCTTGCACTGCGCTCAACTGCGCTGCTCTCGGCACAACAGGACCTTTGCAACTTGCCGATGGGAACGAGGCTCCCTCGTCGTTTCCGGCCATACCTGACAGATCCTCCGATACCAGAGCATTCTCCTCGTTCACGAGCGATGTTCGCTTCTGGGTTCTGGCTGGGGTTTATGCCCCCAAGTCGAATTTCATATAGGATAGGATCTCCCAGTGCGGTGTGTGAGTTTGATAACTGCGCGGGAAATTACGATCGGCAAGGAATGGTGGAACCAACATGGCGTCAGAGTATTTTTTCAAAAATCATCGATTCCGCCTAAAATTGCAATTCTTTTTTAAATCCAGTTTTTAAATTACAATTGTCGGCTAGTTATGAAAATATTAACGAATTTAGCTCATTTGCACGAATAATGGAGACATTAACAATGCAACATGGGAAAACAAATAGAAGATTAAATCGTTAGGTGAGGTGGAACGATTCGAAATTATTCGCCACTGAAAAAACATTACTCATTTGTTCTCCCTTTTCATAACAATTGGAAATAGTTGACTTTTTTGTTTCTATGTTTGTTGGCAATTTTTTGTAGAAAATTGAAAATCTCTTATGTGATTTTTAATAAGCAACTTCATATCACAAATAATACTTCGTAAAATAAATTGTTTCAATTATTATTAATTAATATTTATCTTCGTATTCTTTCATTCATTCTGTTTTCAGTTTCAATTGTTTTAATAAAATTCAAAGTTTTTTAAAAATAAAGGCAAAAAATGTTTATAAATTCTATTTGTCAATTACAAATTTTAATTGAAAATGAAATTAAAAATTTTTGAGTTTTTAGAAAATAAACGAAAAAAATTTACTCAAAAAAATGTTGTTACATTTATTTACGAATTTCTTTAATTGCAAAATTATTCAAAAACTTCAATAACTTCTTTTTTAAATAAATATTTAACTATTATTATTTTTCATAGAAATTAATTTTTCAAAAATTTCAAATTCAAAACTTTTTGAAATTAAACAACTTTAAAAATATTGTGCTAAAACATGAAGATATCGATTTCTTCATGTTTTATAATAATCAAAGATGATCAAGAGATAAAATAATTATTGTATATTATAAGAATATTATTACTGTAACTTTTTCAAAATTATTTTCATATTTCATTTCATTTTATATATAATTATATATAATTATATTATATAATTGAATGTTTCTTAAAATTTTATTCTTATAAAGAATTTTATTACTAAATTTTTTTGACGAATTTTAAATTGTATTATAGTAATTGAAATCCTGCGAAGAATTTTATTATTTAACAAAATAATTGAAGTCTTGCAACGAATTTCGATTACACTTTTTTTTAAATAATTAAATTCTTGTGAAATTTTTATTATTTATGAAAATAATTAAATGTTTGCGTACAATTTTATTAAATTTTTTTTTAATTAATTGATTTTTTTGGGTAGTTTTATTAAAATAGTAGATATTGAAAATCATTTAAATGAGGAAATTTTTGGAAAATGATTAAAATTTTGACTAGAATTTTATTATAATTTTTGAAAATAATTGAATTTTACGATAAGACTTTTATTACTTTTGAAAGTAATTGAGCAATTATTTTCCACTTCTTTAAAATAGTGTTTTTAACTAAAATTCTTCTATAAATCCATTATTTTCAATAATTAATTAAATGTAATCTAATTAAATTCATTCAAAATTGTAAACGCAACTCTTTCAAAATTCAATTAATTTTGAAATATGCAAGTAAAATTATTCATTAAATATTTTATTTATTATTGTAAGAAATTGAAAAATTTGAAGGTTTTGTATTATAATTTGTAGTAATTATAATACAATGAATTATGAATGAATTATGAATTCTAAAAATTAAATTTTTTTCAGTAGTTTTAATAAAAATCTCTGACTTTTCCCTAAATTCATTGTGTCTGATTATTATAGTTATAATAATATTAAAACTATATTCCAATTCATATTTTATTTTTATGAAAATAAATTTGAATTATAAATTTTTAGGTATTATTCTATTATTTTTAAAATTGCTAATTTTATCTAAAAAAGTGAGTAAAAAGTTAGCCAATAGAATTGTTGCTAGCATATTAATATTTAAACAAGCATTGTGTCAAATACACACATAGTAGGTGGGGTTGAATTTTTTTCTATACTGCTTTTTGTAGGGAAAAATGTAATTTGAAAAAACAATAGTGTGAGAAAAATGTCAAATATTCTCCTGTTACAGATTATATAATTGAGTAACATTCACGTGACGAGACAATGTCTCTCTTGCGTATTTTCTGTGCTCCGGGAGCAGTTAAAAATGCGAATACGTTAAATTTTACACGTCCCCAAAAATGAAGCTCGTTGTGATATAACCAATCATCTGTGTGATGTTAGAAACACGAGTTCCTCAATATTCCTGTTTGTATTGTTAATATAAAAAATATTCCAAGATATAGACAAAATTATATTTGCCAAGTAAATAAAAAACTGGTAAAATTATAATGTTACTAGTAGAAAAAATATATTTTTCGTGTTTTATGTGTACACAATACCTGGTGCGAGTATATATACATTGGCGTAATAATGGAAGGAGTTCGATATTTTTAGGTAAGCAGATAGAATAAGTTCCCGAGGGAATGAAAAGTCTCCTCTGGGATTCAGTCTCGTCCGAGCTCTTCGAAGCCGGTTTTACCTTTCGAGTATAAAGCCGAGTAAGTACACTCAGAGGAAACTTGCAATAATAATTGACCACGTCAAAGCGGAAAATACTTCTTGATCGAAATCATATTTTCTTCTTGTAAAGAAAAACATTTTCTTCCAATTTCATAATTAGTTTTAACTTCTAATATTGACAGCTCATTACTTGATAAATTTCAAATTGTCTTCCATGTAGATACTGAATTCACCTATTTTGAATTTCAAAAAGAGTTTTTTCATTGCGAATTTTTAGAAAACTTTTTTTGTTTTTTTGAATTATATTAGTAAACTGACGAAATGGTGTATTGAACTGTGAATTTAATTACGAAAACTTGCCCTCTTTCACGCTGAAGAAATATTTTCAAGAGGTCAGAATAACTAGAGAATCAATTATCCGATGCTGCAAAACTTTCCTTTTAAAGGGTTAAACTTTCGACAATGTATAACAACTTGTGCTAAGTCCTTCGATGGAGTGAAACTGTACGCATTAAATATACAATGACGATAAATACATTGCGGTTAGTTAAAATTTCTCGTTAGGCACAGAAATTGAAGAATATTAATTTCTCTTTTTTCGGACGATCCACTAATTTGCAAAAGGTTTTACTAAGACATTATTTTTAACTTTCTTACATTTAAATTTTGCAAAATATGAAAAATTGATTAAAATTGCTTGACCTCTTGCTTAAAGGAACGAGAATAATAATAATTATTATTATTATTATTTTAGAGCAGGACTGAATGCGCGTTAACTATATGGTCGTATCGTTTTCAAAATCCCTAGGGGTAGAGAGGGGCATCGCATATTCATACGATCTATGCTGGGATTGCATTTCTTGAACAAGTTTAAACAATGACACGCCTCAATGCATTGTTGCAGAGTGTGTGTGTACGTGCATACACAAAGTATTGTTGTCCCAAGAGGAAAGATGAAAGAAAAAAATCCGACGTGTCCGTAAATGTAGCAATAATTTGTTATCACAAATTTTTTATCTAATAATCTTCTCTCTAAATTTGAATCAGTTAAAAATAATTGTTTCAGAAGCAAAAAGTCAGTCACTGATTGTCAGTTAAAACCACGAATTTTAACTGATTCAAATTAAGAGAGTTGTCATAATAGTTTTATAGAATAATTTTGATTTACCTTCGGAATGTCGACTGAAGGCTCGTTGCAGTTCTTCCTCTTCTTCCTCCTCCTCATCTTCATCTTCGTCTGTTGAAAAAATTTACATTTTATCATTATATAACGAAACAAAAGAAATATTTTTATGGAATTTATATTTTTTGATAAAACTATTCTGAATTGATAATTTAAATGAGGAAATGAAGGGTTAAGGGCAAAGACAGTAAACGTATTTTAAGAGACCATTGTTAGTAAGGGTGACATTTATCATTTACTAACTAGTATTTGCAACAGTGAATTATCAAGGGAGGTTTACATTCGGGTGCAAATGAACGTGCGCCTATTTGCTTTTGTGTGGTTTGACATTCTCCTCACCCGTAAACACTACTCGAGAAATAATATGGACGTATAATATGAATGTAATGCGGAATATATAATGTAATATTCTCATGCAAGAACAGTTACACGTCCAAGTGAGAACAGGGGATGAAGGGATAAGTTAAAAGCAACGTCATCATTTAATGTATCCAGCGTAGTTAAAAGGAATAGTTTCAAACGCCATGCCACCCAGTAGTTATAACCGGAAACTTGCTGCAGTAGAAACACTTTCAATGTGTCAGACACGTATCGACACAAACTCTCCTGTCCTTTGAGTCCTTTATTATGTGTACACGTTATTCAAAAGGCTTTTGAGAAGTTTAACAGTATTCTTAGGAGAATCTGCTTTTATCGTTATATTGACAGCCATTGTCTTCAAAAATTCCACTCCCTCGAGTCGTTACACTCAGAAATAATTTAAATTCTCTATTTCCCATCTCTTAATTAAAAATGTTTTCTTTTTCATTTCTCGAAGTCAAAATCTTACCTTTCACTATTGTTTCTTCATCCTGTTCTGAATTTTCAAGGACACTTGGTTCAGGACCCTCTGCCCACTCTTCATCTCCTGAAGAAAGAAAAAGCTGTTTAAGAAAAATATCAAAAGTTGTTGATAAATTGTAAATATGAAGTATATTTGTCAACAAAAATTTGAATTTGGAATAAAGGGACGATGAGTTAGAGACTTTTCGGATAAATGTTCATCAAACTGAGCAAACCGTGATGTGACCGTTTTGTTACAGTAGACCGCAAAATTAAACTAAAAAACTGCTCCTGCCAGGCAGTGCTCGTTTGTTATTCGCGTTATATGATAAAATTTGTGTTCGTGTGCAACTTGCCACTTTGGCAATTACAGGCAATTAGCCGTCGGACATTTGGCTTTAGTGGCGGAGCAAAATTTAGAAAATAAAAGCTTAATTTGTCATTTTTCGCTTACGCGTATTTATATATCGATTGATTTTTAAAGCGATCTGAATCAAATCCTGTTTTTAGACACCTTCTCGGCACTCTTATTACTTATTCTAGAATAATTAATATTATTTTCGAATAATTTCATAAAAAATATAATTGCATTATCATTGTAAAGATATTGAGTACAGTTTAATTATCGGAAGTGAATAATAAATCGTAAAACTGTAGGAAGTATAGTTCCGAAAACAGAGACGCGCGTGAATTTTGAATGAGGTAGACGATCCCTGATAATTAGCTTGACAAGATGGAGTTTGAAATACGAAGCATGTTGCAGGTGAAAGGCAGAAACCTTCTAATAATAATCAAGATTGTCCTGAACCGTACAATCCTGACTTCGTTAAAGGTTGACTGGGCGCGCATTAGCCGTCAGACAAAGCCAATGGATGCATCAAGCAAAGGGATATACGGCCTTAAATATTCTAGAAGACAGGAATCAAAGTGCCACTTTCCCCATTGAACTTTGAAACACCCCACTAAACTGCGAGTCGGAGCCAGACTCACTCTTGTCAACCATTCATAAGCTGCGCATCGCCCAATGAAGAATCTATTTCAATCTCATCGATCATCCAACTTGCGTTGTTAAAACCCACGAGAGTCTCGCGTCTATGTTTCCAATAATTCCCGAACACCGAACATCCGACCTACCACAATCTACTTAAAACTTTTCACTTTTTGCTTACGTCTCATCGAATTTGTGGAAACCCAATAAGAAATTTGCCAATCAAATAAATTACGTATCTGTCAACTTGACGAATATGTATGAAATATTTGTTGCAAAATACGTACATATCTACCTGACTGAATTCTTAATTCAATTGGCAAAAATGAAAGAAATCAAAAACTGTCCAGCCAGAATGCTTTGTATGCATTACCGCACAGGGAAGAAAATTCAATCTGCCGTAAATACGGTAAACAATTTGAAGGTAAGCTAAGTTCACCGAGAATGGTGGCATGCTGGGTATGTAATAACTATAAAGGTAAGAGGATTGGCTATCATATCGAGCAAGTCTTGGTCTTATACATGCTGTTACACGTGGTTTCCTCGGGGGTTGGTACACGAGAGGGAGGAGTAGTGGTGGCAAATATTGTCAAGTTGGAAGTTGTTATTAAGAGAGAAGGAAGGGGTTGGAAAGCTGGCTCGAGAGTTAGGCGCAAAAGGTGGAAAAGTATCTCTTGCAACGCAAGATGAGCGTACAAACGTTCTTTGTTGAGATATAAGGAGACATAAGCTTAGGAAAATAGGGTCTCACAATCCCGGCGACCGCCTTGCGCTCTTGTTCCTCCAAATGGATGTATTATAACGTGCCTTGCATGCATCAGAAAAAGTTAACTGCATATTGGAGTTTCAACTCAAACATGAAAAATAAACAAATTTTTCAGAAAATCTTTATACTCTTCTTTATGCTGATTGTATAAGATTGTTTAAGATTGTTTAGTTTCGAGCAGTAAAAGAGGAGCATAAAGAACCAAAATACTTTTATTTCAATATTCTCTTCACTTAGGAATTTTTTTATAACAAACATTTCACTTTTTTCACAACTTGAGAGAGAAAATTTTCCACTGGGGGTAAACTGCACCCCTTTAGCTTGCTAAAGAATTAAAAGATAGATTCAACATTCTCTTGGGGAGGAAACTTTCTTTAGAGGAACTTGGTTGTCAGGTGAATATAAATTTTTCAGTAGTGACTCTTGTAGTGCTTGAAATTTGAAAAGTGCACCTTGTATTTTGGTATTAATTCACGAGTTTTACTGCTATAATCTTATCCAAAAAGCAAATTAATTTTTTATTAATTTCTCATTGACGACAATTTAACTAATGAGTTTGAAAAAATATTGTGACGAACGAAGGAGAGAGGGAATAATAAAAGTTTTTGACTTCTGAAAAAGAAGAAGAGGAATGGTGTAAATCTCGAGAGGATCGTGAAGGAAGCATCTTTAGCTAGGGCAAGGAATAGAACGCATCCGAGATTCGTTTCGAGTTTTGTGTCATTAATCGATATGCGGAATAAAGCAACCCTCCAGGTTATCTCGGGTACAGAGGTACCGTCGTATGTCTTGGACCAGTGACAGGGAGACAGGCAAGCAGCCATTGGAAGCGTAGGTGGAGGAGAAGCCGTTGGTCCCTGGGGACCGAACCCAGGGTAGCTCTGACGCGGACTCAGACTCCCCTGGGATCAGCCTCCCTTCGGCTTTCCACCTCAACTGGAGTCTCCAGAACCTGAAGATAACAGAGCTTCTATATATATATACACCTTCGAAGTCAACCTCGAATATTCCCTTTTCTTTTTCCTTTCATGGCACTCAGCGAAAACAACACAGTCACCTACTAGTTTTAGTCTTATTACAAGATAAGCCAATTTTTATTATTGAAAGGTCAGCACAAAAGAGATTGCTTCCAAAGTTTTTAAATTCAAAAATATACCAAATATTTAGAACTCAATTTAATTCATTTTTATTTTCATTTTCAAAAAGAGACTCTTCCAAAATAGTAATATTTTTTAAGCGACAAAATTTTGCGAATCGATTATAATTCTTTGAGTCGTTTTTTTCTGTCTGTATGTCTCTCTCTCTCTTTTCTTCACAATATCCGAATGTTACTTCAATAGGAGCAAATATTTGCAGCAGCTGCTGACACACAAGTTTGCTTTTTCTCTATATTCGTTACATAATGTGACAAAAAACATTTTGAAAAACTTGTACCGAAGTAAAATCTCAGTTATTTTATTTTTATTGCATGAATATCCAAAGCGGAATGCGTAAAAAATAGTTAGTTTCAGTAAGACAATAATAGTTTGCAATAAGCAAATTTTCCACTTTTCAGGAAAAATCATAAACGGAAACAATTAAATAATGTTAGAATGTGGGAAAAGATGAAAATAGGCTATTATTTTATCGACGGAATTGAATTAGCAGAGTGTTTGGAAAATTATTTTAAAAAGAACTTTTAGAAAAACAGAGACATAATCCAAAGTGGCATAGTAGTATTAAAGTGATTATAGCCACCAGTTGGGCTTAGTGCTGTCACTGCAAAAACTAATAACAGCTTAAATTTTAGAGAACCTACGATTACAGGATTAAAGGACTACTATAAGTTGAAATTTTCCTCCATTATATTCCTCTTCATTAAGAGGCTAATTCTCTCTTGGTGCGAAAACACTATTCTCTATTTATTATCACTTTCAATTTCACTAATGTGTGCCTGCTGTTTTTATTTCATAAGCCGCAATCTTATTTTCACCATTTTCGTAATTCGCAACTTTATTCAATTACCTACTAATAATAATGTATTGTTTCATTATTTAAAATGGCATTTTATGGGGCTTATCTATACTTTATGAAGATGCAAACCACGGTTATTATAATTCCTATGTTGTGGTAGAAATTGTTTTCCATTTCCCCTTTTGTCCAAAACCAACTTCAAAATCCAAAACACTACTTCTTAATTTTACCGAATAAATAAAAAATAGAAAAATAAATATTTTAGAGTTTGCATTTCAATAATACTCGTTAATTATTACGAGGACGTAAATTAATTCCAAGCTAATAATTATGCATTTATGCTGTACGCACAAATTACAATCACAGCTTTGCGAACCGGCATAATGTGTTTGATTTAGGTCATCGCGCCCTGGTCTGATTAATATAGGTATCTACATATTTGAGTACTACATCAGAATTTAATTAATTACATAACTACATTCAATTATTTTATCTTGATCCTTCTGTTAATTTTGTAAATTCTATTATTGCTCCACTCTGATTTTAATAACTAAAATTTCCTTCCTTGACTAACATTCAAAGGACAGTTTATTTTTATATTCATAATAATCTATGAAACTTAAATTTTTCAGGAGACGTTCAACTTGCAGAAAGACGAAGCATAATGCTAAACCGTTATTGGTCTGGGGAAATAATGCAAATTGCAGAATATAATATATGCATGAGGATTTAGATAATGTTTCTGTGCAGGTAAATAAATTAAAATATCCATTAACATCGTCAACTGAATGGTCAAATGAGAGAGTTAGGAATGTGATATGTTGAGTTGAACTAACTATCTATTGGTCCAATAGATGGGATTTGAACACATGAATCGAGAGGACTATATGTGCATGTTGGAGATTGTGATTTGAATCTATTAATATAGGTACGACTCCACAGCGGTTCATTATCGTGCATTAATTAGCGAACCCTATATCAGTTTGGCTTTACACTCATGCTCTCACCCTATTTCACAACGAACCACGAGACCAGCCAACGGTCAACAGCCAAAGTTAGTCCCTTCAGGATCTCTATTTTTCAACTATCTACACAAATTACGATGTAAATTCGATTACGATCGAATTCGATGTACAAACAATGTCCCAATAGCCTGTTCGAACTGGGTGCGTCATAATCATCCCAAGAGGATTCCTGGTAAACAGTGCAAACAGAAACAACAAAAGTTGCACTAGTTTGGGAAATTCGATCAACATTCTATACTTCTATGTTTCTAAAGGAATCATTATTCCTGTTTGCGAAATAAAATATTATTTTAGAGAATAATTTTATTCAGGGTTGTGGCAACCCTGATCAGGGATTTTTATTAAAAGTACTGGAAAAAATTTAATTTTTAGAATTTATAAGAACATTTTGAATTTTGGTGTCTTTTTTGTTTGCCTCATAAACTATCAAAGTACCACGAATTCTAATACAGAACATTCAATTTTTTCTATTTCTGACAATAATTTCTTTTCAAATGACTTAATTCTTGAAGAACTATCATAAAATTATTATTTAGAAATTATTTAATGCATAATTTTACACTGTAAAAAATTTAGGGAGTTAATGGACTCGGAAGTTGGGAGTGAAATTTTTCGAGTTAAAAATCAACTCCAAAAGAGAGTTAATTTACTAACTCCCTCTAACTCACTTCATCAACACCCGCGCGAGTTATTTTTTCCATGGGGAGTTAGCATTTGGGTGTGAAGTTTTAACTCTCTTTTTTTAACTCCTCTGGCATTAACTCTCCAATGGGTGCGACTTTTATAGAATCCCCTGGGGAGTTAAAATTTAACTCCCTTTTTTTACAGTGTACTTAAAACTTTCAAAATTAATTGGATTTCAAAAGAGCTGGGTTTACAATCTTCATATAAATAGGCGAATTTCAAAGGTTTCAATTTCAAATGTTAGAAAATATAAATTTTTAATGAATTTAAATAGAAATTTTAAGAACTGATTACAGAAATTAAATTATTTTTAAAAGTGATGGAACTTCTTCGCATAAATTCAATTAGGTCCACAAAATTTTTTAAATCTTCTCCAAAATTCAATTATTTTCAAAAATCTTTCTCATTTTAATTATTTTTAATAAAAGTTTCCGACAGAATTCTATTATTTAAACCAAATTTTAATAAAAATTTCACAGGAATTCAATTACTTACCAATTTCTTATAAATTTCTTCGCACCAATTATCAATTATTTTTAATTTTTCAATGAAATTTCTCAAAAGAATTATAATATATTTAGAGAATTGAAGAAAATAGTTCTAAAAAATTCAATTATTTCGAAAATTTTAAATAACATTCTTTTAAAAATTCTATTATTTAAAAAAATTTTGAGAAAATTCTTTACAAGATTTAGTTAATAAAATTGCAATTTTAATAAAAATTTTCCTATACAATTCAATTATTTTCAATACAATAATTAATTCAATTATTGAGGGCCTGGAACGGATAACTGCCTGCAACGCATGGTCGAAAGGGAACTATACCAGTCAGACATCAGTGAGAGGCCTAGAGGCGCTCACGTTTGTCTGACTGGTACAGTCCCTTTCGACTATGCATTCCAGGCCCTTAATTTTTCTTAAGAATTCAATATTTTTTACAAATAATACATTTTTTAATGTGAATTTAATTATTTAAAAAAATTTGAATAAAATTCTTAGCTAGAAATAAAATATTTTCATAAATAATAAAATTTTTCTTAATAAATTCAATTATTTAAAAAAATTTTGATAAAATGCTTTACAAATTAAAAAAAATTATAATAAAATTCTTCCTAGAAATACAATTATTGTCAAACATGTTTGTAAAAAATCTTCGAAACAATTCAATTATTTTCGTAAAAAATAAAATTCTTCTTAGCAATTGAATTAATTAAGAAATTTTAATAAAATTCCTCCCAAGAATTTAATTATTAAGAAATTAATTATTTAAAATTTTTTTTTTAATTCTGTGTCAGATTTCAATTAATTTCAATTTTTTAATGAAGTTTCTCGATAAAATTTCATTATTTTCAAAAATTGCTAAAAAAAATTCAGAAAAATTCAATTATTTTTAAAAAAAATTGAATAAAATTCTTCACAAGAAAATTAATTATTTTCATTAATAATAATATTTTTCCGGAATTCAATTATTTTTATAAATAAAATTCTTCACAGGAATTCAATTACGTAAGCATATTTTTCAGGTTTTTAGACCCCCCCCCCATCGTAAGATTTTTTATATGCATTAGCGCCATTTTTTCTAATGGAAATAAGGAATAGCTAGACCCCCCTCCCCCTTAAATGCTTACGTAATACTTGAATGGTCCCTGACAGGGAAAAACTGAAAATTTCGTCTGGAAATCAGGGAAAAACAAAATTAAAGCTTAGTGACAACCCTGCTTTTTTAATAAATTTTTTTCGTTAACTTTCATTTTTTGCGTGTGGTTTATCCTTCCGAATCTTTTACTTGAATAAGAGAAGGAATGGTCGGACATCCGCTTTATACAGTTCACTGACCAATGAGGTGCATGATCGGCGATTGGCTGCCGCTATGTGGAGGGGGAAGATGCACGATCGCTGCGCAGAAGCGTTGCGCGTTACAGCTTTTTTAGGTTCTAACCAATTTTGGAAAAAGACAAGTCTAGTTTAATTTCACATAATTTTAGTTGCTACGCAAGAATTAAACTTGGACTGATAACATTAGGCGATAAATTGTAATTATCTGGTCTATCTCTTTGCCGAATTCAGTAGCTTGCACAGTTTCCAATTTCTACGGGTATATACGGACACTGAGCTTTATTAACAAAGTGTGTGTGTAATATGACAGTGGTGAACTGTCATGATAGAGGAGAGGGATAGAGAGAGAGAGAGTAAGAAGAGCAGTGTCACTATATGAGATGGAGTCAATGGAGTAAGAGAAATACAGAAGGAGCAAAGAGAATGAGACGGAGAGTGAGAAAATGAAGGGAGGATAGAGTGCTCGCAAGAGGGGAAGGGGGAGTGCGACCAGAATTGGATAGGATAGGAGAACTGGTGATTACAGAGGCCGGGGATTCCACTGGGAGAAGAGCTAGTCCCTCGGGCTTCTACCTAATTCCATCCTGGCTGACTATCTCACTCACTCTCACCACTTCTACCATGTCTGCCTATGCTTTCAACCTCACCACCCTACCTTAACCCCCAAAACCCATTCTCTTCTATCCGCAACGCCACAACCCGTCACTATACTCTCTCTCTCTCTCTCTCTCTCTCTCTCTTCAAACCCCACCAGCAATGAAATGCTCTCCACGTGCTTACGCAATAGAAACATAAACTCTGGAGCCTTAATCTCATTCAAATTGATCGCTTTAAATATCAACCTTATATCGAGATTCAAACTAATCTCATTATCCTATTTAATGATTCTAAAAATCATTTTCGAAAGAAATGCAATTTTTTTATTTTTGACACAAGAAATATCTTTTATTTAAATTTTGTTTCTACTATTTATATTATTTTTCAAGATGAAGAAAAACTTTAACCACTCTCTATAATTGAAAAGAATTATTGAGTATGAGAAATCTATAATCCTAGAATTTTCAATGTTAGGTATACTACATAGTATGTACCTATCTTTTATACTAATTAGGCAAATAACATGCAATGCATGTCAAGAAACATTCAAACTTTGTTTTCCTCAATGCTCTACCTTCTATAATTTACTCCTCTTACAAAGTAGTCCCATATTTAATTTTATGAAAATTTTTCCCTTCTTTTAGAAAACTACACACAAAAATAGGATTACAGAATATGAAAATAAAAATTACTGTAAATCTTTTGACATGGAAAATTTCAAAAGTAGATTTAAATAAAAATGCAGTACTATATATGAAGTATATAGTCAAGAGTTGAAAATAAAATATTAAAAATCATAATGGAAAGTAAATTTATTTATTTGTCATTAATGTGTCTTATGGAGACAAAAAGGAAAGGATACGATAATTTATGACGAGTATGGCAACGTATAAGCGTATTTTTAAGTGCCCTCCTGTGTACCCAATTCAACTTGTTCGTTTTCTTGTTTCTGGCTCTATAACAGAAACAGACTAGCGATCTTTTGTTTTCTCTTATTTCTCTAAAGGGAAAAAGAAATCACCGCTTCTGTCGTTCTCCAATATCACTATCACGTGACCACTAGGGATCCAAAGTGAAAATATTTTTTAAAATTGTAACTCGATCCATGTAATTTTTTACATTCCGCAAGTATTTTAAAAATGAAAACTAAAACAATCTTTTTTCAATTATTCAAAAATGCAAAAGTGAACATTTTTTTTTAAAAATCAAAAAACTTTTTTTACATCTGATCCTTTTTATAGGGAAAAAATCTCAAAGCAAGGAAAACAAAAAAATGATCAAGGAAGCAAAACATTTTTTAAATTTTCAAAATGCTAAGAAAACCATGCTACTTACTTTTAAGAGAACGTGGCTTAGCCTGTTTTCTCCTAGACATAGCACCACATGAAATAATCACACCTCTTTTTAATGAATTATCAAAAAAGAAAATAAATATTTTTTCCAACTATAGTATATGCACGATGTACCCGAAACTACGAATAAAAAATTGAATCACATTTTTGAAAAGAAAAAAATTTTATTGCAGAACAGAAGACAGTAAATTTATCAAAATATTGTTTTTAAAAGTGAAAGTCTACAATGACATTGAAAACCACGTGGTTTTTTTTAAACATGACGCAACACGACACAACCGAATTTTTGCGACAAGCGCGTTCGAAAGACACGCGACAAGTGCTTCTGTGATTATTTCCTTCGACTCCAGGGTGATTGGACGCATGCGGAGGAGGATCTCCTGTTTTGTGGCGCAAGTCTACCTTTCGTATATATAGCAATCATCAAATCACCCCAATAATTTCGTTAGAAACTAAATAAATTAATAAAAGTTACGAGTCAAGTATACGAGATTTTTTATTCCAATAAAAAAATTATTTAGAAAAAAAATTATTTTGCGGCACTGTCAATCAAAATTATTAAAAGTTGCATATTGAAATTACTTATTATATATAGTTTCAGTGAAGAACTGGGAGAAAAAGTTTCATGTATTCGTGAAATGATAGAAACACTCTCTAAATCTGAATATGTGAAAATTCACATATTTGTACGTTATAAGTCGTCTTCTCGATCAATAAGTGCATATACACTTATAATAAGTGAAATTTCACTCAGAATAAGTGAAAAATTCACTTATTTATAAGTGTATATGCACTTATTGATCGAGAGGACGACTTATAACGTACAATAAGTGAAATTTCACATATTCAGATTTAGAGAGCAAGTTTTCACTTTTGTGTGTGTTTGCTCACCAAGATAAATTATTATGATTCGTACATTCGAGACCTTTTAAGTGACTAATTACTTTTGACAGTGATAACATAAACATTCTTATTCAACTAGAAAAGACAAAAGAAAAACAGAAGGAGGTCAGACCTAAAGTATAAATTTCAAATTAACTCGAAAGTAACTTCATGTCACGCAAAATTTAATATTACAAACATTATTGTAACTTTTCTCTCCTTTCTTCTTATTGACAAGAAAATTTATTTTCATTTTTATAATTCGTACCTACATATTTACAAACAAATTATTTTTTAAAAGTTTAATATTGATATAGAATTCCTTTCATTTATCTTAAATTTTATTAAATTAAATTAAATGAGAAGGAAGAAAAGAAAAGCAGAATTTCAAATTTGGCGCCTTAATTTTCATAAGGTTGCCCTACCTGTTAAATGATAGAAATTATATTCTCTATGTTATCAACACTGTGTTATGGCGTTATGGCACCGGGAACAGATATTGATCGAATGTTACATTTTCATAACATTTTTCTAATAACTTTAAATTATTTATCCTGTTTGAAAGTGTTTTTACTTTGCAAAATATATTTCTGCAGCTACACACAAAGTTTCTCGTCAAAGTTTTTTACAGGTCTGTTTAAAATATTGATTAATAATCATCACGCCCAACCGCATGTTCTGATCTTGACAGATCTGTCAAATTGTTTATTATTCAACTATTTCACATTCTTGCCACATGACCCGAAAATTATATTTTTTTCTTCAATTCATTAATTTTATTTGTCCATGAAATGTTGTCTTGGTAAATACATTAATGTAAATAATTCTTCAGATTTTAATGTTTTATATTCTAACCTCAAAAATATTGAAAAATTTAGAAAAATAATAAATTGTTTTCTAAACTAAAAATCAATATTTATGTTTATTTATATGTAGTGTTTATTACTATTATTTGACGAAATTTTTAATTCATAAAGAAAATAAACATTCTTGTCCTTGCATTTATCATAACCTCGCATTGACACTTATTTTTTAAAACTTGTAGCGGAAATAAAAATTTAATTTAACGTAACTTATTTAAAATTTAATTTTTTTTTTTAAACAATAATACGATTTATAATAATTTTATAATTTTTCTAATATCTATACATGAAGTAAAAGAAATTTTATCTCTCAGAACTCAAGAATTTATATTTTTCATCTTAGATCTTTTATTTTTTTATCAAGCGATTAATTTGACTGATATGTTAAATAAGAAAGAATTTATTTTTAAAAAATGTAAAAATTTTATTAGTAAATATTAATAAAATGTTTCTTTCGATATAAAATTAAAAGTAAAATTCATATTCTTTCTAATTAATAATTTTTATATGATAATAATCTTTAATCAGTATTTTAAATAAACGGTAGGAAAACAATTTTCAGATATTCAACAGATAAATGAATACTTCAAAAGACTCGTTGGATGATGATCAAGATCCAGAATATGAATCTTCCGTCCCGAATGATGAAACAAAACAAAAAGCTTTTGAGGAAAGTGGTAAGTTAATAAAAAATGTACCCATTCTGCAAAATAAATTGCAATTTTCTAATTAATAAAACTTTTAATTGATATACTTTTTTTAAAATTCAGCTCGCGCAACAACAGCAAAGAAAATAGTTGACATCGTTGAAAAAGAATTTACCAAAGAAATTGATCAAAAAGAAAAGGAAGTACTTCAAATACAAAATCGTCTCGATGAAGCGCTGAGGATTTTACATCTCTTACGTTATGCAGTTGTTACAGATTTTTATAATCGCAAACAATGTCAAGCATCGCACATTAATGACACAAAACAAACACGAATTCATCCAGCGGTGAAAAAACTCTTGGGCAAATCACCACGCGTGTTGAAAAAAAGTCAATTTATCGATGTGGCAATACCCTCAACATCGACAGATCCACGTTTTCTAATTCCAGATGCAATTCCTTCTACATCGAAAAGTACACCCGAAAAAAGTATTGAGAACTTAAATTCGGAAAATAGTTCTAAAGAAGAGAATGTCAAACGTTCACATTCTGAATCAAGCGAAAATGAACCACCGAAAAAGATTCCTCGCTATGTTCCACCTAAAAATGCAATTCCAGAAGCACCCGGTCCATCCAGAGGTCATAGGAATAAAATTCGAAAACGAATTATCGTGGGGAATATTTCTAAATGGATCCCACCTGAATGGAGAGAAGATAAAACTAGTCACAAATGGACTGTGTACGTCAGGGGCAGCAAGGAAGAAGCGGATATCGGAGGTTACGTTGCCAAAGTTCGTTTCCTACTGGATCCGAGCTATCGACCCAATGACGTCGTGGAAATCACGTGAGTTTTAAATTTATTTCAATTTTTTACAATTATACTCAATAAATCATTTTTATTTTTAGATCCTCGCCGTTTCACTTATCAAGACGTGGCTGGGGTGAATTTCCATTGCGAGTCCAATTGCATTTTAAAAACACTCTAAATAAACCAATCGACATTATTCATCCCCTGAAACTAGATCGAACATTCACTGGTCTTCAAACTCTAGGTTTGTTAAATTAAACGAAAATTTCTATTTTTGGAGAATAAATTACTTAAAGTGAAGAAGACGATAAAAACTTAAGTCAGTTTGGTCAGAAGTCAATTATAAAGAGTTTGATTATTAATTTTTGACCTTTCACAGGACTCGAACTAGGTTCGTAAATCCCGTAAAGGTCCATAAATTTGCTTCAAGTGCGTAAAAGTCAGTTTTTTTTTAAAAAAGGTCCGTAATTTGATTTACAAAAGAAGAAAAGTTTGTAAATGATACGATATATGCCTTTCATCGTTTTCTTTATTTAAAGTATTTTTTAAAATAACAAATTCTCTGTTAATTGTATTTTTTAATAAATGTTTTATATTTAAAAAAAAAAAAAGGTGCAGAAACAGTAGTTGACATTTGGCTTCAAACTAGCGAACCACGTCTGGCGACAAACTCCATCACCGACAATACCGAAAATTATAAATTAGATTTAAACATTAACGGCTCGACGAGAAAAGAAATTACATTAGAAAAATCCGACCAAGAATCAAATTTAACAATAACACATGAATCTCCAAAAGACGAAAGTTCACAATTAAAATTAATCTCTCTCATTGATCATGACTATTGTAAATTATCATCAAAATCTCTTTCAATAGAGAGTAACAAAACAGTCGTGCATTTAAGAAATGGATCATTGGATTCTGACGCGAGAATTTCTCTCAATGGTTTGCAAACAAATTCAATTTTAAATACCAATAGTGTAGAAAAATTAGCAAATACTTTAAAAGATACACCAGGTAAAATGCAACCATTACAAATTTCAATTCCTGATGCTTTTGAATCGACAAATAAAAATCAAGTTCTAGTTCTCAAGAACAAAGATTTTGTACCTGTTAAATTTGATCCAAAATCGAAAGTTTTAATTGACCCCATAAGTATTCAAAAGAAAGTGAACAACTTTAATAATAAAGATGGGGAGGTGTGTAAAATCAGTGAAAAGCCGAAAGTAATCAAAATAAATCCGGTGAACAGTATTTTATTGACTGCCAACTATAGTGAACCAGCTTTAAGAATTGTTGACCCAATAGCCTATAATAATGTCAACGAAAATAAGATTGTAAGGAGCTTTGATCTTCGAGTAGGTTCAAATTCATCCAAATCGGATGTTAAATTGCAAAATAATGCCAAAACTACGAAGCCGAAAATTGTTTTGGGAAAAATTAAAATGAACAAGGAAATCCATGATGAAATTATGAGGTAAACTTTTAAATTATTTATTAAACATGAAATTTGCAATTCTTGGAAATTCTAATTAACTAGGATTTTTATTTTAAAGGTCAATTGATGACGTGCGGTTAACAGATACTTTAAGTATAGTTCAATTTATAATTCATCGGCTACCTCTTATAACTGAAAAAGTATCTGATCCAGAATACAGAAAATTGTATCCGTTTTCTTGTAGAAGCGTAGAAGAGTTCCTCAGTTACAATATTGGAAAACAACGAGCTTTTGAGGTAATTTTTGAAAAATATTAATTGTACAAAGAATTTTCATTAATTTCATTACTGTAATTACAGTGGCAAAGAGCAAGAGCGGTGAGAACGTTTTTAAAACGAAAAGTGACTGCAGAAGAAATGTGGAGTGTTAAGGAAATAATTATGTGGGCAAGAAGACATGCTTACACTCCAATGTCTTCTATTTTCAATTTTGAAAATGCTTCAATTGATAGAATGAAGAAATCTTTCAACTCGGATTCAAATATTTTCTCTACCTATACAAAACCAGTTGATCTTCATAAATGGCTTTCAGAGACTAGTAAAAACAATGAAGAGAACAATTGCGAAGAGTCAGACGAAGAAATTGACATTCTTTTTGAAAGTAAACCAAGTGGTAGGAAAAATATTCTTTATTTTAACTTTTCAATAAGATAAATAATTTATTAATTTTTAAATTTATTTAATTTAATTTTTAAATTCATTACAGATGTTTTTAAAATTGAAAACGATGAAACATTGTCGGACGCGGATGTTTTGGAAATGCCTGTCGAGTCCGAGTCTCTTTTTATTTACGTTAACGAAACTGCCCGAAACATTGGAATTAAATTAACAGACGAGGAAATTATTCCAGGAGTTCGACATTGTTCGGGAAGTCATGTGATTATGCGGGTAAAATATTTTTGCATTCAAATTAAATTTACTCTGAAAAAAGAATTAACACTTTTATTTTCAGGCAGTGGAATGTTTTGTTGATAATATTCTTCGATTATCCCACGCAACAGCGTTAGAAAAGTTAGAAGATAAAAATAGGTTTGTAAAATTTTTACTAGACTTAATACTTTTATAATCTTTAAGAAATTATTTTATTTATTTTTTTATTTTTTACAGTTACGTGGAGACATTGAATTTGGAAGACGTGAAAGAAGCGCTTTTAAAACGAGAAGAGTTTGACCTGTTTACAAATGCGGGCTTAGGAAATATGTCGATTGAAGAAGAATGAATAAAACTCAAAAATATTTATTCGCGATAAAAATCGACAAAATTATCCACAATAAAAGAGATAGTTTATTAGCAAAAAAACAACCCCGTGTCAATGAATAGTACATTTTAATCTCTAAACAATGTATTTTGTTTTAAAATGTGAATACTGTAATAGGTTTTATTACTATTTTTTTTTAATATTTTGAAAGATCGTCGAGAGAAAAAGTGGAAAATGAGACAATTTATTAATTTAATTCTAAAAGTTCGCTCTTCCAGATCTTTTTTACAATTATTCGCTTTTAATCAATTTTGTATATAAATTCGTAATTGAATATATTTTTTACTCTAGTAAAATGTCCTTATCATTTGCTCCTATTTTTCTAACACTTTTTGTTTTTGGGAAACAAATTCAATCCCATCCAACTGGAATATTGTGACGGTCAATTTGCATTTGCAGCCATTCACGTAGAGGTTTGAAGTAGTTTAAAAGAAATTTAGCTTCGTAATTTGTTGAGCCTGTCGATTGATAAAGAGCGTCTTTCCAATTTATAGTGCTTCCGAGTTGCATAAAAGATCTTGGAAAAATTGAAAAATCATCATTTTAATAGGAAACAATGAGTAATGTAGTGAAAAGAATTTTTATTATTACCTCAAAATTTTTCCTGCCTCTTCTGAACCGTAAATATCGCACTGATGGAGCGGAATTTGAAAATTCGTCCTCTCGATTTTACCAGTGACTGACGCTCGGCAAATGCTTTCGAAAAATTGAAATTGCAAAATTGTCGATAGAAAATACCTATAATAAAAGATTATTTAAAATAATATTTTACTAATAAAAAGAAATTGATAATTATTGTTGAAAGTAAAAGAGACACCTGATTGAAGGGACGTTTTCTGTGATGTGAAACACCGCAGCGGGATCGAAATAAATTTCTGATCGACGTGTCGGTGGTTCAATTCCCATGTATTTTGTGTACAATGTCCACCAGGATCGATTATAGTTCGAAGGTTTTATTTTACCAGAAAAAACTTCCCACCTCCAAAAATCCATTATTAAACTATGAACCAATACAGGAAGCTTAAAAAGTGCCTGCTTCAACAAAATCGGAATGTCTGCAAAATAAAATTTCAATTTGTTTTACGTTACGATATTTAAAAAAAATTTTAATAGATTTATTAAAAATTCCAGTAAAACTAATTTCCCCCCGAAGGATGTCCACCTTGTCGTGGTGGTGGGGCTTTTCACTAAGAGACATTCCAATAGCACGAAAAATCCAAGAAACATTACTAAAATTATAAGTACGGTAATAAAGTTTTTACTCACTATCAATTAGTAGAGAATCTTCGACAAGTCCCAGTCTTTGTAAATTTTGAGGTGCCATCATTCCAAGCAGAATGGTATCACCGATTGCTTCATGAAATGCTGAATTTGGAGCGTCCTGGAAAATCATTATTATTAAACAAACTTTTTGCACTTAAACTTTAATAGTAATTACCCTGAAGATTGTTGGCTGATCTTCGTAGGCCATGTAATATTGAATGTGTCCCATTTCGTGAATAATCACTTCAAAGTCTTCCAGATTAACTTGTAAACACGCCAACATTCTAGAATTATTGTAATTAGTACTTGTCTAAATTAAATTCATTGATCATAAATTAAAAATTTAAATTTTTAAATTAAAGTTTTAGTTTTATAAATATTAATTAATAATTTCTCTTTTATATTTTAAATTGTAATTAATACCTAAAATCGTTGTTGGTGTACATATTTGCAGCTGTAGGGTGGCAATCCATGCTTTTATTATTCCTTTCGAAAATTGACTTTTTCCAAAATGTTTCTGATAATTTTGGAAAACCTAAAGACAGATAATAATCTTCAGCCTTTTTTACCATTTCATGAACAGTGTAATTTCTTCTCGACATTTGGTTACTTATATTGAAAAGCTGACCATTTTCCAGAAGACGGGTTAATAGTGGACTCCAATTTTGGGACCATAAATTTCCTTTAAGAAAATTTTACTCATCTTAATGCAAAGAATAAATATATTATTTTTTAAACAAAAAATATTGCGATACATTTTTTCAATTAATACTTTTTTCAGTTAAAAATATATTTATTATTATTTATATAATCTTACCTAATAGATGAGAAAATATTGGTCGCTTGGGATAAAGAATTTCCGGATAAAATTGTACAAGTTTGTAACGCACAAAGGCATGAAGAAGTTTGTATAATGGACGAATTTCAAAATACAATTTAGAGATTAGTTTCTTTAAATCTGAAACTTGGAATTCTTCTCTCAAGTATTCCCCAATATCGTGGTAACCTGCATCAATTTTAAATTATTCGATTTAAATTTTATATTTCTTACCGAATAATATGAATTAAAATGTAACTATTATTTTTAATAATATTTACTAAGTAGAATATTAATTTTCTTTTTATTAAAAAACTTTGTCACTTCACTGTACCATTGTTTTTTGCCCCTAAATTTTGAAGCATCACTGATTCAGTAAATGTATTTTTTAAGTGCCCCATTTCATTTTGCCAGGTTTTCCAAATCCAAAGTAACTCCGTTTCGTTTCTGAACAATTTTATTTTTTAATTTGTTAACTAATTTTCTATATTCAAAAACAATATAAATTTTTTATATTTACCTGCTGGAAGACATTAACTGTTCCAAATCTGGCTCTCCATGAAAACAAAGATTTTCAAGATTATTTAATCTGCAAATTTTTGTTCTGGTGTAAGTTAAAGATAGTTTTTGTTCAAGTGCTGACAATTTTCTAAAAAGAATTTATTATTAATATGAATATTGTGAAGAATGTGAATGTAAATGTGATAATTGAAGAAAGTAACTAAATACTTGGTAATATCAGGTGTATAAATTGGTCCTCTGCAAAGTAAATCAGTTATCATCTTGTGAAAGCATTGAAATACTTCTTTGAAATTCTGAAATCTCGAGCACCATTTTACTTTCCAATTACTGTGTAATTCAAAAATTATTGAATTTATTCTTTCCGTTTCAATTGATGATTTTGTTGACAAATTCCATTTTACCTCGGCTTGAATTCTTCTTAAATAAAGAAGTTCTTGGTTCATTTCGTCCAGTAATAATGACGATTCTTCACTATAATTATTGTGATCTACAATTTTAAATTTTTAAATATTTTGGGATAACTTTAATAAAAAAAAAAATTTAAATCAATGGTATTTACCTTGCGTACAAGATGACTTTTCAAAAAGTATTTCTACTTGGTTTGTAACTATTGCATTATAAAATAAAATCATTAGCAAAATAATCATTTTGACGCTAATTTGAATTTTTAAAATTGTAAGTCAATATATTTAGTGCACCACCAATAATAAATTGTAAACTTGAAAGACACAGAAAGAAATTGGTACTAAGACGTTTCCTTTTATCTCGAAGATACGATTCCAGGATTTTGCGCGATGCGTCCTTTAATTCGAAGTGGGAAATTCTGGAGAATAATTTACTTAAAAATCACAGACAGTTAATTATTTTGTTATGTACCTTTGGAATTAAGGTTATACTCTCAACTTATTTTCTTCGATTTCGATTTTTAAAAATAAATATTTCCCAACGTTTAAAAATTTACAGTTGTATTGTATTGTTTATAATATTTATAAAAATTAATATTCTTATTCATTAATATAATTAATTGATTTACCAAATATTATTCGGTATGAAATGAAATATTATTCAATTTATAATGCAACTGTATTTTAATTACGTGTCCACGTAAACACAGGTCTCGACACAGGTGAACGTACATATTGAAGCAGCTCAGCGAGGATCAGGCTAAATTAAAAATAAGGACTGCTACTTTTATTGCACCAGTCGATCAGAATAACAAACAGAGCCAACTTTCAATAGTCTCTAGAAACAACACCTACAGAAACTTTTTATCTCGAACCAATTTATCTGTTTTATTTGATTTTTTAATGATATTATTTCATTCTATACATTTACAGCACAAAGTTTTATTTGAAAATTTTTTCAGAAATTAAAAATGACTAAACATTGCGATATAGATGGGAAAAATTAATTACCAAAACGAAACAATGCGCATTATGCAAACAGTGAATTGAGCAAATTTGCTAAGCATTTGTTTGAGAAAACTGATGCCTAATGAACCTGTGCTCTCGTTTAACAGGTTGTAATGCTATAAACACGATTCCACGCGTGCTTTGAATAACTAATGAATTCTCGCTTGGTTTATTTATCAATTCAACCGAACGTGCCTGAACTTCATTATTTGTTAGTTTTCAATTAACTTATAGGTACTAAGATTTATTAAAATAATCTTTTATTAACAGCTCATAATATAAACACACATTTGTAATATTTTAACAAAAATACTTTTATACTTTAATTAACAAGTATTAGTTATTTTAATATTTTAATCTACAAGTAATTCATTTGAAAATTAGTAATTTTTTATGACAAGTTTTCAACAATTTATTATTACAGTTTAAAAAGTGAATATAAATTGATTGTCAATTGTTTAAAAATTATATGTTATTAAACTGTCATTTTGAAAGGAGATCAGTTTGACCATATTTTTTATAATTCTTTAAACGGATTTTTTACTTGACGACGTTTTTCTTGATGTTTACGAAATGACGAGATATGCAAGGAATATTATGTCTGTTATATATTATCACAATTACAAGCAATGTATCAGGAAATTTTTATCAAATTCTTCAGGGAAAATCACAAAATTTTTCTCACAACAACTTGCAAAGAAGTCAAAGTGTTCGACAGACATCAGACTTGCAAAATGATAAAAGTAGATTGGAAAATTTGTAAAAATATTTTTCATATTTTTCATAATTATTAATTTTTTAATTTAGGTTTTTTTTTCATTAAAAGCATTGAATTTTTATTGTTTTTAATATGTACTTCTTACACTTAAGAAACATTTTGTTTTTAGTTAGTTCATCAAAAATTTTTGAAAAAAATTCAATTCAAGATGAAATAAAGAAATCTCACAAGCCACTAAATTCAATTCATAATTTGAATTTTTTGGAGAAACGATATATAAGAAAAAAACGACACGTAGAATATGAAAAAAAGAAAATTAAGAGTTCGAAAGAAGAGAGAGGAAAGAAAATAAATTTAAAAACAAATTCAAAAAAGAAAAAGAAGCAAAGTGACGCAGAATTTAAAAATAATAAAGTAAAAAATATATTCCATATAATTTTAAAGGAAAAATAAATTCATTTTCTATATATGGTATAAGAAATTAATTTCAAATTATTTCTTAGAAGGAAAGCAGTTTGAAAAACAAGTATAAGAATGGAAATCGTCCCGAACAAATCAATAAACAAACGGAACGGAAACTTAAATCATTCTCACCTTCTAATGCAGTTATTCATTATTTAAAAAATGATCAGTATTCAAACACGTTTGAAAATTGCAGAAACAAAAAAGATTGCAAAAATTCTAGTCATCACCGAAGGCGAAGAAAAAGTCAGCGGTACATTTTTCTCACAAATTCAAAATATTTGTTTTCACTTTTCAAGAAATTTTTTTATATTTTGAATACAATCAAATGTTATTTATAAATAAAAAATTATCATTTAAACTTTTCAGAATAAAAAATCAAAGACGTAGAAGTCGAAATAATTTAAGAAAAAAGAAAAGCATTTATTCTCAGCGAGCCTGTGAAGCTGAATGTAGTGATAGAAGTTTCAATTCAGAGCCATGTCATTGTAGAAATGAGAAGCCAATTGATTTTGAGAACCAATTAAAGATTTTGAATAAAGGTGGCGAGGAAGTGGAAACTAACAAGGAAAAATCAGGAATTTTAAATGGAATTCAAAATCTTCTAAAATCAGATGTCACAACTTTAAATCCTTATCAGTGTTCAGATCCGATAAATAAAAATTCTTTGAGTAATAATAATATCAACAATGGAATCACTAGTGAAAATAATTTTGAAACTACTACGAAAGTTCAAATTTTTCCCGAAACTATTACTGAATCCTTTCCTGAAACTACTCGAAAGAAAAATATTATCAAATTTACTGGTGAAATGGAGACTTTACAAAAAATTGATGTTAAAGTGACTACTCAATGTATTATTCAAACTACTAATAATTTTGAAGCCACAACTGAATCTACAATTAAAGCTACCAATGAAGTTGATACACAAATCAATTGTAAATTATTGCCTGAAGAAATTTTCCCCCAAACAGATGAAATCCTTTCTAAAACTACCAATGATCCAATTGTAGTAACGAGTAATTTACCATCTGGTGAGTCGGACAATAAAATCCTCGATTGTGAACATAATATGGAAAACTTTAATATAAATGAAGATGAAAACTCTTTTCATCGAACTGAAACCATGACATTAGTACCCACAAAAGAAGATATAGTTGATAAGACTCTTTTAGATAATTTTTATAATAATCCTTGTTTCACAACGCCAGTTTCTAACAATTATCACGAATTGTGTAACAATAATAATAACGATAATGAAGATTTTAATAATTTTCCGTCGAATAATAGAAAGTATAATAAAAAGCCAATTGCCACATTTTCTATCATATTTAAAACAAACAAAATGGCTAAACCTAAGAATTTTAAATTTAGACTGAAATATTAGTTTTGATAGTAAAAGTAAGATATGTGCTAATATGCCCTCTAATGTGACATGTAATTTATGTAATTTTTTTTTTTATTATTGTAAAAATAATAAAAAAATACAGAAAATCATTTTTTTCTTTTGTAAAAGAAAAAGAAAATAAAGATATCTCCTTAACATATAGTTAATATTTTGTTAATAATACAATTTTAAACTTTTTAATTTTAAGAATTTTATAATTTTCAAATTATTTTTAGTGTGAGCTAATTGAAATAATTAGTTATTAGTAATGATGATTATTATTATAAATTAAATATATATACAAGTTTTAAAAAATGTTGAAAAAGTAAAATAATATACAAATATATCTGGTATCTGCAATGTTCACTCTAGACAATTTAAAAATGCAAAAAGCAAAAAACAAATGACTTGTCAGTAAATCTGCATGTCAAAATATTATTGGTACAATTGAAGGAAAATTCTATTTTAATTCTATATTTTTAACAATATATAAGTATTCTTTTGAAAAATATTGATGAACAGGAGTTTTTGAATTTGACTTTTAAATTTTAATGATTTTTTTGCCGTCGATTGTGATATCTTGCTTTCCTAATTTGGAAGCGAAAATAAGAGTTTTCGAAAATTTGGTTAATAAAATTAATCGAAAAAGAACGTTTCATGAAAGGATATTTACGTTATTTAATATGATGATTGAAATTAGTTTTTCAAGCAAATGCGATATCACGTAATTTACAGGTATTTGACTATTGTCAACTACAAAGTTTTCATTTCACAAATAAATATGTAATTTAATGTTTTAAAAATTATTTAGTTTCTTTCTTAACAGAATTTTTTATACACTTTTATCAGTTCTTCTTTTTTCTTTACTAATTATTTTATTAATTTTATTATCTATAATAATTATTAACTTTTTTTAGGGTGCTTTATATTATAATGTACTTAACAAGAGGACTGAGCAATGATTTTTTCCTTAATCAAGACCAGTATTCTCCAATTTTATTTGATTTATCGAAAAGAGGAGAAAATTTGCAAACTTTTTTAAACAATGAATATCCTGACAAAAATGTGAAAAATAATTTTCACTCCAAGTGTAATTTTAAAAATACTTCCATTTTACACAATGTTTCGAAATGTAAAATATGCTTGGAACGAAAGGATGATAATTTAATTTTCTTTAAATCAAGAAATATATTATCTAAAATTCATCAGATTAATTCATCGAATTTACAATTAAAAAATGGAAAATTTCATCTGTCCAAGAGGAATAACAAAGATTTGAAATTAAATAAAATTGCAAGATTTATAAAGAAAACGTCAAATTTAAGAAAAAAGTCAAACATTTCAAAACATGAAGACAAAATGAAGAAAAATAATTTTAATCAAACTAGTAATAAGGATCTCAATCATTTAGGAAATAATAGTTTGCCACATTTAAAAAATAATAATTCGAAACGAATAAATAACCATGTGAAAGATAGAAGAAATAATCAGATGAAAAATAATAATCTAGAAAAACTAACAGAAAACTCTCATTATAATAAAAAATCATCCAGGAACAATAAGGCTGACAATATTCTTCAGGGTAACGAAAAGTCATTATCTGATATAATAGAACCTCTAACTAGTCAACTGGGAAAATTGGTGTTGACAATAAACAAATTAAATGAAAATTTAAATAAAAACAATGAACAAGTAGCCAAGAAAAACAATAAAAAATTATCTAGAAGAAAACGTGGTCTATTAAGATTTCTACATTCGTCCAATGTAACGGGTAAATATTTAAAAAGTTTGGAATCTCTTTTTGGACAAAACATATCAAAACTACCTGCTACCTCATCAACTGAAAAATATATTGCCAGTTTCAAATTGTTGACTGAAAAAGGATTTAAAGTAAAGAAGAAAGACAAGAAGTCAATAGAAAAAATAATTAGAGAAAATAGTAATCGAATAAAACATAAAAACCAAAAACAAAATGAAAAGTTTTATTTTCCTGCAAACAAATCAAAACATATAAAATATGGAAGATTAGGAAGAACTCTCCAATCTTTTTCAAATTTTAGAATACCTAATCATGCTAATCGTTATCAAGCAAATTTCAAGTAAGTTTTAAAATTAATAAAAGAAGAAATACATTTTTAAACTTTTATTAAAATTTGTTTTATTTAAATTTTAAAATAAATTTTAATACTTGAAGTATTTGAAGTATTTTCATATTTTAGAAAAATGTTTTTTTTGCAGATTTCAAAACATCTCTGTTCCGAAGAAATTTAATTTAAAAGGTATTTTCTTCTTTTTTATTTATAAGTTATAACCAAATAAAACTTTTTATAATAATATTATAATTAGTTTGTCTTAATCAATATTTTAAAACATAATAACTTCTAATAATATAATATAATACTTACAGCAAAGGGAAAAAGATATAAAAGAAAAGATACTTCAACTGAAGAGTACGATTACGAAAAATATATTGACGAGAGTTTGTTGACAACTGAAATGTATCCAGACGATGATTATGATGAAGAAGAAAATGCTTCCGGAAGCGGAGACAGTGTTTGGCGCGATTATTCTGAAGATGAAGAAGAGAAAGATACATCTTCAATGACGGAGAATGCAACATTGACTAGTGAAAAAACTTCTGAGAGTATAACTTTTGGAAGTACACCTGAGCCTAAATCGACAACCGAAGGTAAGACTCCATCAAAAGCAGACATTACAACTAAAACAATAACATCAACTCAAACTAATAATACAACTGAATCAATTAAAAATAAATCTACAACTGGTGCTGAGGCATCAACTACATTTAAAACTACCACTCAAATTCAAACTTCGACAACAGTTAAAGCTACAAGTGAGCTTAAGTCTTCTACAAAAACTAAAGGTACAACTGAAGCAAAAGACTTTGAGAAAATTAAAACAACAATTGAACCCAAAAATTTTAATGCAACAAAAACTACAACTGAGGAGATAATCATGACTGAAATTTCAACCACAATTAAACCCAAGTCTTCTACAGAAGTAGAAACAACCACAGAAGCACAAAAATCTGATAAAACAACGAAAATTCAGACATCGGTTCCTACAACTATTCTTTCTTCTCTAATGACAGAAAATAAAATGTCTTCCTCCAGTGTTTTGCAAATTGCAACCGTGGCAGTTGAAAAACCAACTATTCAAACTACAGCCTCTGAAGTAGGTACTCAAGAAACAAGTGAGATTGGATCTACTGAACTAACTACTGGAGCAAAGTTTTCTGAAGTAGCAACTTCAACAACTTCTGCAACAACTGAAACTATTTATGAAGATTTATTAAAAACCGAATCTATTTCGGAAACTACGTTTGAAGGGAAAGAAAATACTGTAACAATGATCGTCAGTGCCGTGCCTACTGAATTTACTATTCCCCTTAGTGATAAAACTACTGAAGAAATAAAAGTAACTACAACTGGAATGGCATCTGATATTACACCACTATTTATAACTAATTCTCCAAGTGAACAATATTCGAAAGAAACAACAATTACTGAATCGCAAGCACTGACAACTCAAGGAACAACATCAAGCAGCGAACAAAAATCATCAACCTCCACTGAAGGAACTTTAACAAATTCATCTCCATCAACTAATGCATTATTTAGTACTCAAGAAATTTTAAACACCGAAGGAATATCCACCACTTCAAAAATATTAAGTACTTTAGCTACTGACAAAATTCCAACTACTACAAAGATATCAAATAAAGAAACTTTAAGCACTGTACAAGTTTCGAGTACTGCGATAACAAACAATAAGGAAACTTTAAGAACATCAACTATTAAACTTAATTTAAGCACTGATGAAGATTCAAATACCAAAGCAACTACAAACATTGAAAAATTATCTACGACTAATGAAACTCCAGTAACAAATAATAAAGAATCGCAAAGCACTCTAAAAATAAATACTGCTCAACTTAGTTCCACAACTAACGAAAATTACAATTCCGAAGAAATCGTGGGTTTCAAGAAAATTTCTTCTACAAGTCCAATTACTGAAAAAATATCAAATTCTCAAGAAATGGTAAATACTAAAGAGACATTGACGACTAATTCAATTTCAAGTGCTGAAGAAATAGCCAGTACTATAAAACTATCAAGTACTCAAACTCCCTCAAATACTGAAGAAACTTCTGATAAGAAAGATATTTCAAGTACTCCAGAAACTATATATATTAATGAAACTTCTAGCACTGTAGAAATTTCAAGCACTGAAGAAACTTCGAGTATAAAGGAAATATTCAGTAGTCCAAAACTCTCAAGTATTCAAGATACTTTAAATACTGAAGAAATTTTAAGTTCTCAAAAATTCTCAAGTACTGAAGAAAATTCTAGTAGAGAAGAAATTTCAAGCACTGAAAAAACTTCTAGTATTAAGGAAATATTAAGTAGTCCAAAACTCTCGAGTATTCAAGATACTTTGAATACTGGAAAAATTTCAAGTTCTCAAAGTTTCTCAAGTACTGAAGAAACTTCTAGCGTTGAGGAAATATTAAGTACTCAAAAATTTCCAAGTATTCAAGACACTTTTAATACTGAAGAAATTTTAAGTTCTCCAAAATCCTCAAGTACTGAAAAAATTTCTAGTACTGAAGAAATATTAAGTACTCAAACCCACTCAAGTATTGAAGACAATTTCAATACTGTAGAAATTTTAAGTTCTTCAAAATCCTCAAGTACTGAAAAAACTTCTAGTGTTGAGGAAATATTAAGTACTCAAAAACTCTCAAGTACTCAAGATACTTTGAGTACTGAAGATATTTTAAGTTCTCAAAATCCCTCAAATACTGAAGAAACTTCTGGTACTGAAGAATTCTCAAGCACTAAAGAAACATTCAGCGTGAAAGAAATTTCAAGCACTGAATTAATTCCAAATACTAAAAAAACGTCAAGCACTCGAATAACTTCAAATACTAAAGAAATTTTAAGTACGCCAAAATTTTTAAGTACTGAAGAAACTTGGAGTATTCAAGATACTTTAAATACTGAAGAAATTTTTAGTTTTCAAAATCCCTCAAGTACTGAAGATACTTCTAGCGTTGAGGAAATATTAAGTAGTCAAAAAGTCTCAAGTATTCAAGACACTTTCAATACAGAAGAAATTTTTAGTTCTCAAAAATCCTCAAGTACTGAAGAAACTTCTGGTACTGAAGAAATATCAAGTACTCAGGAATTCTCAAGCACTAAAGAAACATTCAATATCGAAGAAATTTCAAGCACTCAAATATCTTCAAATACTAAAGAAATTTTAAGTACGCCAAAATCCTCAAGTACTGCAGAAACTTCTAGTGTTGAGGAAATATTAAGTACTCAAACCCACTCAAGTATTGAAGACAATTTCAATAGTGTAGAAATTTTAAGTTCTTCAAAATCCTCAAGTACTGAAAAAACTACTAGTACTGAGGAAATATTAAGTACTCAAAAACTGTCAAGTATTCAAGATACTTTCAATTCAGAAGAAATTTTAAGTTCTCCAAAATCCTCAAATACTGAAAAAATTTCTAGTACTGAAGAAATATTAAGTACTAAAGACTTCTCTAGCACTCAAATACTTTCAAGTACCACAGAAATTTCTGTAACTGAAGGAATTTTAAGTACTCAAGTAACTTTAAGTACTGAAGAAACTACTAATAGTAAATTAATTTCAAACACCGAAGCGATGTCAAGTACAGAAGAAACAGTAAATACTAAAGAAAATTCTAATACTGTTGAAGTTCAAAGTACTGAAATTAATACCAATACTGAAGAATCATCAGTTACTGTAGAAAGATTAACTAGTTTTACAGAAGAAACTATAGCACCTCTGGAAAACATTAAATTCACAAAACCCCAAGAATCCTCAATTTCCGAATTTGAAGAGTTACTAAAATCTAGTACTTTTTCAGGAAGTGAATTCAGCAAAACAAGCTCGTTTAAAACACCCGTGAGCCCCGAAATATCGACAACTATATCAACTTCTGAACCGGGAGGTAATAGCCAATTGAAAATTTCTTCATCACTAGAGGAGTCATCATCTACAAGTCAAACAACTGAATTAAGTTCAAATGAAAATCTATCGAAATCTTCTGAACATGAAGAAACCAATCAGTCTTCTTCAATGGAAACTACAGTTTCTGGAGTGTCTTCATTATCTTCAGTTAGTTCCAATTTGATAGAGAGTACATCCTCAAAAGAAACTTCCGAGCCTTCAACAAGATTAGAGTCCACATTTGAAAGTTCTTTCCAAGATATCAGTTCAACTGTTAGAGATACTAAAGGTACCTTTAAAATAAAAAAAAAAATTAGTATCAGTAAAAATAGAAATTTAGTAGAGAAATTTTTTTAGGAATATTAATAGATTATAAATAATTAAAAGAATGTTTTGTTTCAGCAACAACTCAGGGATTAGTAGTCGAAGAAATAACTCAAGGAACGTCTGAAAATGTACAAGAGAAATCAACTGTATCAAAGGGACCAGAAGAAGACGAAGAGGTTTATGATGAAACTACGAAGAACCAGGAAGAAGAGCCTGATGATGATGCTGAAGAACAAGATTCTGGTTCAGCTGATGATATGAATGATTATGAAGAAACATCTTCAACATCAACAACCCAAGAAGAAGAAGAAGAAGCAACTGAAAAAAAAGTAACAGAAGAAACAACAACAGCAAATATAGACAAAGAAGAAAAGACAACAGTAGAGGAAAACTCTGAAGAAGAACAAACGAAGACAACTATAAAAAGCACCACAAATAAATATGAGCCAACAGAGAAAGCAACAAGTGAAGGAGATAATGAAAATGAAGCAAATGATGAAGAATCGATTGAAAATGATAATGAAAATACAGAAGAAAATACTGAAGAAGAACCAACAAAGGAAACGGAGGATAATACCACAAGTGAAGAAACTACTGAAGAAGAAAATGTTAATGAAGAAGTAACTAAAAGTGACACTGAAGAGGAAATACCAGATGACGAAGACACATTAGAGAAACAGCCAGAAGTTACAACCGAGGAAGACGTGGAACGAAAAACAACTGAATATAAAAGCACTGAGGAGGAGTCATCAAATATTAAAACTACTGAAGAGGGCATTAAAAAAGAAACAACAGAAGGTACAATTGAAGAGGATACAAGAAAAGAAGAAACTTCCAAAGATAGTTGTGATGGAACAACAGAAGAAGATATAACTGTATCTTCTCGAAAATGTTTTCCAAAATCAGAGAGAAAAAAAGTTTCCACCGTGAAAACTACAACGATAGAAGAGAAATTAACTTCTATTGAATCTGCATGTTTTCCAGAATCAATTTTTTCTTTAGATATTACTACTTCAAAATCTCCAGTCGAAAAATTAACTATTAAGACAAGTTCTTCTAAACCTGTTAAAGAAGTGACAAGTCTTCCATCAAAATCTACTTCCATTCCACAAGTAGAGTTACCATCTATTACCAAAACACCTGAGATTATAGTTATCATTGAGGAATCTTCAGACCAAAAATCGCAAACTTCAACAATGGACCAGGAAACTTCAATTTTGACCGAATTCACACCCGAATTTAGGTAAGAGAGAATTACAATTTTTTACTTTTCAATTTTCAAATTTAATTTTTCCAACTCTTTCCAGAATGTCGACGTTTGAAGAAAACCCTGCAGAATTCACTGACGTTCCTCAAATTGAGCAGACTCGTGACGAAAACTTTGAAACTCAATTAAAGAAAAGTGAAGTGGAATTAGATGATAAAAATAGAGAATTAAAGAATATGGAAAATAAGATAAGAGTTAATAAAAAGAAACTGCAAGTTGAGGGAAAAAGAAGATTAGAAGAGATTAGAAGAAAGCAAAAAGAATTAGAGGAGAAACAAACTGAATTACACAAAAGAATACAAGAAGTAGAGAATGAAGTGAAAAAGAAAACAGAAAAAGAAGAAATAGATCAGAAGGCTATAAGCGAGACAAATTTCTCCTCCGATTCAGTAGAAAATGAAAAAGATAATGATGTTGATGAAATAACTACTAATAAAAGTAGTAAATGTTCTAAAAATAGTTCACCTTCAACTCTAAAAGTCTGCTTGAATTTTTCCAATAATTCAAGAACAGAAGAAATTAATCCTGATCAAGAAATAATTTTTTTTCCGATTGTTCAAAAGAATCATTCATCTAAGCGAAGTGCAAAAAGATTGGCAAGAAAATTAATGACTTTAAATGACAATTCATCAGTGAAGGTCAATTTCAATTTATTGAATCCTGAACAAAAACTGGGAATGCAAAGAACAATTTTAAAAAAGAAAAATAATAACCTTGTAGATTCGAGTTTTAACAGAGAAAAAAATGATGATGTATCAGAAAGAGTAAAGAGGGGATTTTCATTTAAGAAATTTTGGAGTTGTTTGAAGCAAGCAGATACCACAACAACAACAAATGCCAATGAATTAGTAAATTTTGATGAAAAATTTGGTGGTGAGATTACTTGGAAGAAGGAGACTACCGTCACCGATAATCTTCCTTTTCCAGAATATTCTCCTAGAAGAAATAATTCTAACATGAAATTCGTTATTGATTCTACAAGGAAGAGTGAAATTGACCCTCATAAAAATAATCATATTCCTGACGAATTTACTTTGAGAAGTAACTTAAGTGTTAATGAAGATGAAGAAGAAAATTGTAGTGAATCTTTTGAAAATTGTGAAGAATCTGTAGAGGAATGCGCAAACGGGAATAATAATGATTATATTGATGGAAATAGAAGAGAAGAAAATACAAAGACAAACAAAAAAGAAGAAAATTCAGAAAGTACAAAACGAACTATGAAACAAGAACCTAAAGAAGGTATAGAGGATCGAACAAAAAAACCAAATATAGAGCAGAATGTGGAAATAAATGAAGATAAAGGAAATAAAGAAAACAATCAATGTAAAGAAGAAAAGAAATTGAAAAATAAAGAAGATGATAATGGTGATGAAGAAAAAGGCGAAAATATAGAGAACGAGAAAGACAAAAATAAAAATAAGTTTAATGAAGAAATAGAGAAGGATAATGAACTGAAGCAAAAGAAACCAACTAAATTAAAAAATCATCCAAAATTGAAAACAAAACAGAAAACTTCTTCTCAAGTGACATGTGGACTTCCCATGATAATTTTAAAAGGAAATAATAAAATTTTAATGAAATTAAAAAATAATTTAAAATTCCCTGAAGAAGATAGTAAAACTAATGTTACATTACCAATTGAAAAAAGTACTTTACCGTCGACTAGGAAACAAAAAAATTATAAGAATGGTGATGATAATTGTGACGAAGATATAATATCTAACATAAAAGAAAATGATTTAACAACTTTGAGTAATGAAGACAAATTTTCAACAACTCCAAAAACAAAAAAGATTAAAAAGAAAACATACAAACCGAGAAAATCAAAATCTTTAAAGAAAAATCATAGTGAAAATAAACTTCATATGAAAGACACAAAGAGACAACGAGAAAAAAAAGACAAGAGTCTTCAAAATGAAGAAGAAAAACTTATTAAAAAAGTGAATCATCTTCTTCTCGAGGTAGACGATCTTAAGAAAAATATTCAAAATAATGAAAAAAAATTTTCGAAGAAAAGAAGAAAGAAGAACAATAATTCAAAAACAAGAAAATTAAGCATTAACAAACAAAGCTCTCGAAAAGGTACTTTATTTTATTTCTTTTCTTAATTCTACTTTTATTATTTTTATTAGAATATTAATAAAAAAAAATTGATTAGATAAAAAAAATCACGTGAAGGAAGTAAAAGAAGAGAAAAATATATCTTCTTCCGATATAATTGATAATAAAAAAAGTCAATTATTGGACAAAGTTTTGAGAATGATTAAAGAGGAGAATGAAGAAAAGAAAAATATTTCGAAAACATCAAAGAAAAACTTGAGGAAAAGTGATTTGACGAATAATAAACGTTTAAGTCGAAGTATTGTTTATCAAGTAAAACATACAATCGGAAATTTAATTCAAAATACAGAAAATCGAAAGGTATTTTAATATTAATTTATATCTAGAATTAAACTTGAGTTTTTTTTAAGAAAAATTAATTTGAAAAGTTTCAAACAAAAGGAAATTCGTTTTTTTATTTTTTTTCTTAAAACCTAATATTTCTTTCACATTCTTTTCAGAGCAATAAAAAAATTGACAATCAAGCAGATAAAATAGATTTTAAAAATAAATCTACTTTTGTAAATTTAAACAATGTCATGTCAAAGATAAAAAATTCATTGAAGAAACGAAATTTAGAAAATGTGGAAAAAATTATTCTTTATAAAGATAAAGGAAAATACGATGAAACTGTGAATTTTGAATCAAATCAAAATCTTAATTTTGATTCTAATTCATATTCCGAGATTTCACTTAGTAACGCTGCTCTTGAGAAAATCGTTTCCCTAGTCGCAGATAAGGCGATGAAGTCAATTAATAATTCTCACTCAGCTTCCACTGATTCGACTATTTTCGTAAAAGTTATTCAACCAGTGTCGCAGCCAGAACAAGTGGAAGAATTTAAATCTGAATTTCGATTTGATTTGTCAAAAATAATTAAAAATGCTAAAGTCCATTTTCTCGAGACACGGCAAAATCTCCCTTTCAATTTACCTTCAGTTGAAAAATACCAAAATTCGAAAAGTAAAAAATTTTATTTGCCTAGTGAGAAATTTGATCAAACCTTGCGATCAATTCAATATAGAAATTATAGGAAAATGAATCTCCCGGAAAAACCGTTCTCAAAAAGAAGATTTTGGCATGACAAAGTTAAGAAGAAAGAGAATAATCCTCTTCTGGTTCAGATACGAGAAGAAATTTTCAAGGAATTAAAGATGAAATTTGGAGAAAACAATAAACAATTTTATTTTGATTCCAATCGAGAAAGAAGGAAGAGAAATTTGAGGAAGAAGAAAAGAATCATCCCAGGTAATAATTTTTGTGTTGCAATAAATAAAAAGAGAAGAAAAATTAAATTTTAAAACGTAAAGAAGATATAATGTTCAACTAATTATTTTTTGTTAAATTAATAAAATACTTTCTTTTAGAATTCGCTGAAAATATAAAAAAAATAGTTGATTCTGAAGATTCGGGAATTGAAGAGGATTTTCTTATTTCTCGAAGAAAAGCGGATTCCCCTAAAACACAAGCAAAGAAAAATTTCCCTATGAATAAAGAGTTAAAAACAATTAATGATAGTAGAAGAAATTATTTATTGGAAAATAATAATCGAAATTTTCAAACACTTGAAAATAATATCACAAATTTAGAAGTTCAAACCATGTCTGAGAAAATTTTGAAATTTATTCATGAAATTCAAGCGAATCCTGAAAAAATTGACAAAATTCGAAACACCTATGGTATAGAACTTGAAAGAATTATCAATAAATTTGGAGAAAGTGAATTGGGATTAAAAAATGAAAATGACAAAAGCAATTTGAATAAAATAATTCATGAAATTGTCAACGTTGACAAAAAAGACTTGGATGATTCTAAATTAACTAGCAAAAATAATGGTAAGCATACTTTGTTAAATTCTTTCTTTTAAACAAAATTTCAAAATTAATAAGGATTAAATATTAAATTTTTCAGTTTCCAAAAAAAATTTAAAAGAAGAAATAGCTTCAAATTCGAAACAGATTGAAAGTTTTGAAAGGGGAAAAATTCTTGAAATGAAAAAAGAGAAGAAAAAGAAAACAAAGAAAGAAAATGACAGAACGAATACGAAATTTGAAAGAATTATGAAATACAAAAGCAGAAAAGTACACTCCATTAATGATAGTGACAAAATATTCCAATTTCCGAATAAACTTACAAATGAACAAAAATTTGAAAAACGCAAAAAAGAAATAAATACAAAAATGAATGCAAGTTTTCAGAAAGTCGCACCTGGAAGACATTTGTGTAATTACCGAAAAATGGATAAAAAATCTAAAATGAATCAGAATAAAAGGGAAAATAGTTCGAAAAATGTGAAAAATATTGAAGAATCGAAACTTTTTAGCAAAAGAGTTAAAAAATCGGTAGTAGGTACAAAACGGCAGAAAATAAATGTAATTAATGACCATAATATTTATCGAAATTTAAGTGAAGAAAAATATCAGTCACAAACAATTGTACCATTTGGTAATGAGAAAATTCGAATAAAATACATTTTTCGCGATAATTCGGTAGCGTTAAGTAAAAATCGGGATATTAGAGACAATAGAAATAATGAGAAAGGAATTGGCGAGAACTGCGAAAATTGTATTTGCGACTTAAGTCAAGCAATTGTGGATATGTCAAATATATTGAGAAACAGAAGCGATATCCTTGATAAGGTGGAAAATTATAGATGCAATTTATTCGTCGACATTGGAAGCGAAATTTTTCTAACGGACACTGAAGAGGACGTACAAGGTCAAGTCCGACGAAATCTAGATGAAACACGAGGATTAAAATATGTCGAGTCGGAAAATGTGGAGAATACATTGAAACAGGGAATCGTTTCGAATAATGGTATTTATTTATTTATTATTTTCTATAATTCCTAATTATTTCTTATTTTAATCGGAGATTTCTGGAAAAAATCTTTTTGGTATTTCTGTTTCTTTATTTTTCATTGCGTTACCTCTGGACCAATGGAATGTTTTCTCTCCTCCGGAGTCTTTATTAAATTTTAATTACTTTTGTACGTAATTAATATATTTTAATTGTTCAAAATAAATTTTTTACATTCCTCTGCGTATTGTTTCAGATTATGAAGTATTTTCATTACCCGGATACAATATGAATCTTCCATGTAACCATGAAGGTGAAGATTTTCTATGGATGATGAGCATCAGCAAACCAAATTATACTTGGACTCGAGAAGACAATTTTCCCATTTCCGGTAATATCTTGATTATATTTTTTAATCTTGGCAAAGACTCTAAAATCCCCAAACCTCCTTATTTTCAATAATGTAAATTAATTCGATTTTTTACAACTTTAAAGGTATTGTGCGGAAAAATGGAAATCTTGAATTATTCGATGTCGACATCAAAGATTCTGGGAATTATTTGTGTTTTATTACTTACATCGACCCTGAAAATGAAGAGACAATAAGAAATACTTACAAACACAATCTCCAAGGTAAAATTTTATTAACTTGTTATAAAAAATTGATAATTATTGCTTTTTTTATTTGATATTTTTTAATTGAATGAACAAAATTCAACTCAAAGTGCGATTCTTTTTAAAGTCGTAACATTGCCAAGATATGCTTTACGGGGTGGAAACCAATACAGATTGGACGTGTGTGACGATGCCGAGATTGAAGAAATTTCAACGTACTTTCCAAAAAAACTGAAGGAGATTCTCTGCAAGGATGATATTTGTGAGACTTTTATTCTCCCACCACACTGCCATCGTCAGCGAGTGAGTCTATAAAAAACTGTATCTCTCACTTTTCCTTTGTATTTTTACTTTACGAATATTTTATGAAGCTTTCTTTCCTTATAGATCTCCATAAACGTCTTGGTCGCCCCTTCGAATATTGCAAAGTTAGTGCCAGTTGGTCTCAATCTCTGTGGGATTCGATGCCGCAAAGCAGTTCAAGATAAAATTGCACTGTTACTGAGTAGAAATGTCCGAGCTGTCCTTCAACGACCAAGTTAGTTGGATTTTCTTATTATTTATTATTTTTCCCTTACAAGTTCGATTATGTAAATTCGTCATTCAATTTAAGTTTTGAATCAGTCTTTCTCCCAATTTATACCTTTGCAGACAATTGAAACTAATTTTTTAAAGTGCATGCACCTTACGTAGAAAATAGAATAGACAATATAGTTAATAATGACTAATAGATTTAATTGAATTTATTTCATTTTTTTAAAGGCTTCCATCATAACAGTTTCTATATAAAAATGTTTAAACCACAGTCGTTTTCAGGCTGCCACACCACAGAGAAAAATTGGTGCCAGTCGATTTATCAGTTAATAAGCATAGATGTAAAAGATGTAGAAGCAAGAAGAATAGATCTTTCAAAAATATTGGCGACGTGGGTCTCCTCATTGGTTGTCCTGCTGGCTTCAATTTTCAAAATACTCACTGTCGTAAGCCAAAAAATACAAACAAATAGTTATAAGTTTAAAATCTTTTATTCAGTGCTCGAACCGCAGTGAAAGTACATATTTGAAAATACTTTCTAAAGATAATTGAAATTTCCACGAGAATTTAAAAAAAATTTTGAATATAATTGAATTTCTGCGAAGAATTTTATTATTCATGAAAATAATTGAATTTCTGCATTCATTTGTAATTTCTCTAAAATTCTCCAAATACATTGTACAATTTACGAACTTTTCGTTCTTTTCTCAATCAAATTACGGTCTTTACGGACCTTTTTTAAAAAAACTTACTTTTACGAAATTTACGGACCTAGTTCGAGCCCTGTTTATTACTATTTTAAAAATTTCCTAGTTTTAAATTTAAACTTAATTTAACAGAAAATTAATAAAAATTTGCGACATTACTTTACTGAAAAAGCAAAATAGTGGAGTAAGAGTAATGTAAAAAACTCGATTTTCTTCGTTCTAGTTCCGTGCCTCGCTGGTTTTTATAGCGAGGATGGATCATCGCATTGCAAAAAATGTCCTCTGGGAACTCATCAACCGAATACCGGAGCCAGGGCCTGTCAGACTTGCACTAATCCCTTCGTAGAAGGGTGTCATGAAATGGTACACCGAAGATAATTTATTTTTCAAATTTATTGACTTTTTGAAACTTGAAATTATTGTTAATTAACATGAAAAATGTCCATTCGTTTATTGCAGGTTTTGAATTTGTCAATAATCATAATTATCCTGGTGCTCCTTTTTATAATTGTACTCATTTGCTCCATTGTTTTGTGCTCCTGCTCGAGGCGCTCAAAAAAGCGAAAAACAGTAGAGTGCGCTCGCATTTCGGAAGTTGACGCCAAGGTATTTTTTTGATTAGTTATTAATTAATTAAAATAGTAATAATCCTGCTAATTAACTTTCTTTTCTCTCTGAAAGGACTATTCGGATAGAAAACCATTGTTAAAATTGAAAAAGAAACGGATTCCAAATAGTAATCGTGAAATAAATTTAAATCGTCTCGAGGTGAGTTTCCGTGAATAGTTTTCAATAATTACATAAAGAGAGTTATAATAATAATGGAACTTTTTTAATCAGTTCAAGAAAAAGAATGTTAAGGACAGATTTGATCGAAAATCAGATAAAAATGGATATGTGCTTGTGTCTCGTGTCGAGTCTTACAATTCTCATCAATGTGACTATGAAAATCGTAAGTTTTTTTTTATTAAATCGAAATGTTTCGATTATTTTTCCAAAAATAAAAAATAATTACATGAATCTTGATTCATTTAACGATTTAACTCTCAATTGAATTTAAATCCTACTTTAAAAAATTGAATAAATTTTACAAAATGTAAATTAACCTTTTAATTTCAAGTTGTAAATTAATATTATCAGAACTTTTTAACAATTAGCTTTAATTCTATTTTTCTAAGTAAGTAATCGATGTGAATGTCATTAAAAGCAAAGTTTAAATTAATATTCAGATTCGCCAAAGAAGCCGTCTCGTTTTAAACCTCCTGTTCCTGAACCAGATTTTGATAGATGATAATCACAAATAATAATAGAGAGATTACGAATGCATTAAAGTTTCAGAAGACAATTAAAGCAAAATCAGATTACAAGACCCGGTAATTTGTAAACTAGCTTTAGTTTTACTATTTTGATATAAGACCAATACAATAGCAATGTACAATAGTTAATTTTAAGGATAATTGTGTAAACATTATTATTGTATAAATGAACACGATATTCTTCTCAGGTATAAACATCCTTAATAAAAATATTCTTTTAATTAAATATTACCAATTTTATTTATTTCTGATAAACGAAGGAATTCTTCTTCTTTAAATACAAAATTACAATTTATTTAATTATTTAAAAAATAAGTAGTTTTGTTTTCATTTTGTAATTTAAAGTGTTAGATGTAAAGTTCACTTGTTTTTTTGCTTTCCTCCTCGGGAATGAATTTATAAACCTCTGGATTCTTGGCTTTTTGGGGATTTTCTACGTTATTGTAGTTGAATTTTTTCAGTTGGAAATTGAGACCGAAAAATGGAAGATAAAATGCACTGCAGAAGAAAAGAATGAATTTAACCGTCATCTGATTCTTTTTAAAGATGTTGAACGGTAAATTCTGAAATTTAAAATGATTTCTAATTGTGTAGAAAAGAAAGTAGAACATTTTAAATTCAATATAAATCTTGACAAATAAAATAAATTTTTAAATGAATTAATCTTTCATTATTATAAGTTAATTAATTATTGTTAAACAGATGTTAAAGAAAAAGTAAATTAATTAATATGGATTATCATCAAAAGAAAAAAAATCTTACAGTTCCAACGTTTCGACAACCGCGAGGAAAGTCACTAGGTTTCGTTGCCATCGTTCTAACTTGATGAGTAATGTGACGAAACATTTTCAATTTTAATTGACAATTCTCCTTTTACACTTTATTTCGGTTTTTTTCTCCCTCTTTCTATAGGTTATTTTTTAGTATTCCACAAGGAATAGAAGAAGCAACTTCAAGTCAAACTTATTTTCAGATTACGTTAATGTTTTGTTTCCATTATTCATTTCAAAAATTCTTAATTGAAAATATACTCAAAAAATTTCTATATGAAAAGAATAACAATGAATTAAAATTAAGGTTCAGCTTATGTAAAAAAATCAAGTCCAAATTCTATTAATATTTTACATCTGTTTTCAATAGGTAATTTATTAATTAATTTATTTTACAAAGTAAAGTAACATAAACAAAATGACCATACGAGATCATAATAGATTGTAAACTAGTTTTGCAGTAGGATGTAAATCTGAAAATAAATTAAAATCGTTTAATTTATTTCAAACTATAATAAATGCATAGTTTACTAACGAATTTTAATATTACTAGTGTGCCATCTAGGCGTGTTTTAGAAAATAAAACCTAAAGTTACTTCTGAATAATTATTATTTCAATTTCTAATTATTAAAACTGTTTTATCTTGTATTAAAATTAATAAATTTCGATAAAACTAATTCTCATTTTCATAAATGTAAAAATATTTCTTCTCTACTTACTTATGCCTTAAGCATTTGATGTCTAAGTGCAATGAATGGAACAGCAAATCCACTTCCGAAAAATATCATGAACTTAAGTGTTAAAAGAGATTTATTTTCGATATTGAACGGGATATTCTGAAATTTAAAAAAAGCGTGTTAAAAGGGAAAAAAATTGAATTTTGAATTAACTTTAAAATATCTGATCCTATTATACTGTCTTAACATAACCTCACTTTTGAAAAATTATATTTAATATATTTCCCAAATATAAATGATTTATCTTCTGGTGTATTAAGAATTAATAACAGAAGAAAATCATGGAAATGTACGTTGAGGTAAAGAATGTAAAATAATGTATTAAATTTCGTTCTACAATGATAAATAACAAAAGATAATCGCTATTTGAATATGCGATTACGTAAAGAGAAAGATTTTATATTTACTTTTCCAGGAACTCCATCGTTTGGACTAGACTTTCGAACTGCACTAGTGGCGAATCTTCTTACACTTTGTCGGCTAATTTGACCCAACATTTTGAGAAATACTTTTATTTCACGAAAAAGATTCTAAATAAATTTCAACGTTACTGCTAGCAAAGTGGTACAGTGTTGTTCTGCTTCTGCCTGTACGCCACAGAAGAAGTGGAATAAAATGAATAAAATCAATGGATCTGTCGGTAAGAAGAAAATTTATATTTTATTTTTTATAATTTAAGTAATGTAATATTTCCATTAATAGTAATTGTTAAACATAGATTACGTTAGTAATATTACAAGTTTTTACAATTAAAAAATGTTTAATTATTTTAGAATATACTTATCGACCAGTAGGTACTGCGGCGTTTTCTAGTACTAAAGGTAGATGGCGAGTCATTTCTTGTTTGAGATTGACAGTTAATACTCTACTACACAGCGAGAAGACATTGTCAACTTTTGCAGGAAGGTAAGCGTTAATAAATATTTGTTAAATAAATTTTGCTTTAATATTTTTAATGCTATATAAGTCTGGTCAAGAAAACACTTGACTTTGAAAACTAGAAAAGACAAAACTGACTTTAAAAAAGGAAATAAAAGTAAAACATTTATTTTGAAAATCTGAAAAAATTAATTTTACTAATAAATAGTAATTCAGACCAATTAACATTTAAGGTTTCTTTATAAAGAGTATAAACTAATATTTCGCATCGTTTCGATTGTTTTCATTTTTTTCTAATACGCATTTTATTTTTATGTAATATTCAATATTTTAATCAGAAGAAAAGAAGTACGCACTGTTCCGTGATTCTTTTTTTCGCATTTCAAGGTCCATTATGTGTATACATTATGTGTCCTGATTCTACATTTATATATTCTATTATGTTGGGAAATGTGCAACGATTTCTGAGTGGCAATATAGGCACCAATTTTACATGACAATAAAAATGACACATTCATTTTTACAAAGTAAATTCATTCTAATAAGATTCAGACTGTGATAAATTACAAAAAAAAGATTCACATTTATTATATAATAATCACTGGGGAATTTAAAAAAAATTGTGTATACATACAGTGTGAAAGTGAGTTTAATATAAAGAATGGTCCATTTCAGGGCGTGTATCTTAATTACAATCATTTTCATGAATACTGCGCTTCCTCGTATTAAGTCATCAAATTTATTTTGCTTGCTCATCGCGGAAACAGTCATTCTTTTCATTATATTATTCTTTTGTGATACTCAGGGAAGATTAAAAAACATACGAATTTTTAATATATATCTTTTCATCTTGTTGCTATTGTTTGTGAACATTCTTATCATTCTTTATAATTTATAATTAAAAATTATATGTTTGTTAATTAGATTTTAAATAATATTGAGAAATTTTGTTATAATCGAAAATAAGTAATTAAAACGGATCGATCCTTTTCCTATTAACACATATGATACAGAAATGTTTAAAATTTTTATAAACACCTCAAAAATGACAAAGTTACGAGTGTGCTGATCCTATATTATAACTAGAGATTAACCTCAAAGTTTATAATAGTATTTTAAAATTAGATATTTCTTTTTATATTTGTAGGTACTTGCTTTGCATTCATATATATCTTTTGACGGCATTTTTGTGAATTCAGCTTTATGATGAATATCACCTTTAGGTGATGTAATCGCATTTTTCTCCAGATACTTGGAGGATTATGGGACACTTTTTTATTAATATTCATTTATTATTGCTTTCGCACTTCTTTCCTTGTTTCTATGCTCCAATTGTTGACCTTATTTGACAACGAAACCATAAATGTATACAAATTTTCAACCATTAATTTAAAATTTTTGATGTCACGGATAGACATATTTAAAAAACTTTTATAAAAATATAACTTAGACAAAATTACATTTATTCATTTGGAAAAAATTTAACGATATTTTGTTTAAAAACTCAATTTTCGTTTAAATTATAAGAATTTTATCTGTAACCAAGAAAACATTTTCATCCAACCCACTCCAAATGTCGAAAGAGTAATATAATATTCTTTATAATTATTTGAAAATGTTTTTCTTCTACGTGATATTCAACTATTTTTGCTTTGTTAATGAAGAGTGATTCTTTTCTTGCAAATGTAAAATTTGACTTGATTATATACCCAGAGAAGGTCGTCTAATAACAGCTTGCAAGTTTTTTTCTCAGATCGAATTGCAAGATACTTACTCACAAATGTAATTGAAAAGCTTTTCCGACGAGGCTTCAAATTTGCTCTGTTACTAATCGAATCACCCTCTAAAAAAAGAAGAAAAGAAGGAAAGTATAAAAAGACGAAAGTCGTGTGAAAGATGCTGGATATCCGCTGGACCTTTCATTTGTCTCCGTATATCCAGGTTTCATCGCGATGAGAGACAGAGATTTAGTAGACGGTAGCAATCCAGTGAACCTTAAAGGAATAATTGAACAAAAAACGAGGATAAAAAATAAAAATTCGATAATTTAGTGTCAGAATAGAGTAATTTAAACGATAAATTAATTAATAAATTATCCCTTTGAAATAAAAAAAAAAAAAAATTCACACTATTTCTAGTAAAAGTTTTTTTTTGTTGCACAATTCTTCAAATGGAGAGACCTTAAATGAGCAAAAAAAAGAAAGAAAAGGAATAGGATCACAAACAAGTAAGTTAAGGGTGGCAAAAGAGTGAGGGGTTGAAGAAAGTATAAAAAGGGGAAGGGGTGGAAAAGAGGGGTAATTTGCACCCGCGACGTGGAAGCAAATTCTAAGGAGCTTTTAAAATTAAAAATTCGTCGCGACGCCAGAGACGCCGGAAATGCAGCTTCCACATCGCGTTCTCATTTCGTTTCGTTCCTTTTACTGGTGCTTTTCTCTATACCATTCTCAACCCCACTTTTTTACTCTCTCACTCATTCTCTTTTTCTCTTTTTCTCTTTTTCTCTTTTACTGTTTTTCCTCTCATTTTACTCATTTCTCTTTCTCTCTCTCTCTCTCTCTCTTTTCTTTACTTTCTCACTCTATCAATTTCCCTTTTTCACCTTTCACAATTCTCGCTCTCTCTCTCTCTCTCTTCTCTTGTTCAATGTTTCTGGTTATTTTATCCCCGAACCTCCCCCTTTTTTAGAGCACCCCCCTTCAACCTATTTAACCAGCAACCAGCAAAATATTCATACGCAAAACTTGTCCCATATTTATTCATAAGCTGAGCTTTTGATGACAGTACACACCGCGAGTATATCGAGCCTACGTCCGCAATTTATTTCTCGTGCGGACGATGCTTAAAATTCACGCGACTACTTCCCTTTTTATCTACTTCATGCATCTTTGCTCCGACAGCAATTTTCATTTTTCTTCTATCCTTTTCAAATTTTGACGACATTGCGCGCCAATCGAATGTACACAGTTCGATCTCTTCCTGTTCTTTTCTTATCGACATTCCTGTTTCCTGCACAGTCGTAAGCAAACAAAGCTTATTTTTTCAACCACCTTTCTTTTAGATCCTTCAATAATTTTAAATAAAAGATAAAATATCGAAATTCCATTTAGCAGTTATAGCTTCGTTTTTATTTTCCTTATAGAAATGTAAAATAAATCAAATCAAGGCCGTGTATTGGAAATTAAAATGACAAAAAGTACAAAAGCCTTTTGTAATGTCTTATTCTTGAAAATGAATCCGTGACACACTTATTTCGCGTCCGAATAATGTGGCAAGACTTGAAGAAGTGTCTTTTTTCTTTTGCTTTCTGACTGAGTTGAAAGAGAAGGAAAAAAGAATTTTCTCGTATGTAAAAATGCTTAAAAAAGTCAACGCAGACATTATCAGATCCAGAGAAGGCCATTAAAATGGAAACAGAGTACAAAGACCTACAGAAAAAAGCAGAGAACTCCAACTTATTTTTATTTATAACCAAATCGAGAATTCGTTTGCATTCTGTCTTTTTACGCTTCTCTCTAAACCTGCTCTTTTTAAGATTAATAATATAATATTCCAAGATTATTGAACTTTATAATATAGAGAAATCTTTCATTAAGTGCGATTTTTCAATTTGACTTTAACTCCCACTTTCATTTTCAAATTTAAAGTTAAAACAAAAAATCAATAAAAGTCAAATTCGAATCGAAAGTCAAAGTCAAATTTTCAAAAATGCAATTTTATAATTTGACTTTGACTTTCGATTCGAGTTTGACATTAACTTTGATTTTAACTTTGACTTTAACTTTGACTTTAACTTTGTTTCTCAAATGCCTTCAAATTTTAACTCTAATCTTCACTTTAACTTTGTCCATGGCTTTCACTTTGACTTTCAAAGTCAAATTAATTGTTAAAGTTAGAGTGAAAATGAAAGTCAAAGTGAATGTCAAATCAAAATTGAAGTTAAAAATCTAATCTCAGAGTCAAAATCAAATCGAAGGTCAAAGTCAAATTACAAAATCGCACAAAATCTATTATTTATAGAGATGTTTTTATTTAGAAGATCCTACATTGAACATACCGGAATTCTCTATAACTTTGAACTGTATTTTTACACTATTTAATTAACGCACTTCTCTTGAGACACTCCGCATTTTGTCATTAGTAGCGGCGAATGTCAGAATATCTAATTAGTAACTGGTACTATCCGTTTAGACATTTCAAAACATTGACTCTACTTTTAAGTCTTCCAGTAAAGTAAAAATTGATTAAAACTTTATTCAAATGGTCGTTACTAATTAAAAAGATTCTTGGTATTGTATCAACAAACGAAAAGTTAATGCATTCTGTTATTTAAAAGTTACTAGTTAATTTCACAATTAAAACAACTATGCCTTTACAAAATTAGATAATAATTAACTGTATTTCCAGAAATATTGATATTACAAAGAAATTAAACGAAAATGAAAACAAATTGAAATTCCAGGAGAAGTATGAGTAAATAGAATGTTTCTGAGCCTTGTGTTATTTATATTCGAGTCTCCATAGAAATAGTAAACCAAATGGTGTAGGTAACAGAAATATATACTTTACGTAATGACAAAACTACTACGTAATTCCTGTAAATATAGTTGACCACAGATTGTCTATCGTAAGAAAAAGAGGAGAATCACTTCCACTGCACATATACTGATAATGATGACAGAAAGTCGTTACCATTTTCCCATTTTCCGATTTACACCGATCGCATCGTCACAAGT